ATTGCTTCAATCATAAGATCGTTGAAAATGGAGTTCAAATAATATTAAGATCGAACTTAACTTGATACGAATATTTAGGCATTTTAAAATTAAAAAAATTAAAATTGAAGATTTATTGAATGAATTTTATGATAATATATCAATTATTTTCAAGATTTTGAATAATCCTAACATAATTTTAGAATTGCTTGCCATTGTTTGAAAAAAAAAAAGATTAAATTATTATTACTATTATGAGGAATTTACATACATATCATTTTATTTCATGTTATTTACATATTTAACACCCAAAATTTTAATATTATATTCCTACAACTCATATAAAATTTTAATATCAAATATACAACTCCTATATTTCATTCTTACCACCCATACCATCATATAAATTTTAATATTTCATTCCATGCATTCATATTTTTTCTATGGTTGATAGGTATGTAATATTAAAGTTTTAAAAATTAAATATGTAAATAGCATGAAATAAAGTGGTATGTATGTAAATCTCCCTATCCCACTTTATTTCATACTATTTATATATCTAACATCTAAAACTTTAATATTACATTCTCATCACTTATAAAAAATTTTAATATCAAATATATCACTCATATATTTCATTCTTGTAGAAAGAGAGAAGAAAGCTTTCGAGAGAAACAGGAAAAGCAGGAGAAAACTTGTGTGTATTCCTTGTCCTTTTTACATAATACAAAAGAATAATATATATAGAGAAATACAAGAAAGTACAATGGATAGCAAGAAGGTATGGTTTGTAAGCCAACCGGAAGGAGCCACGTGTACAGTGTGGCTAACAGCCCCCCTCAAACTAATGGATGAGATGCAACGATAAGTTTGCTAGAGAGGTCTTTGAAGCGTGGAGTCGCTAGAGGCTTGGTGAATAGGTCGATCGGCGAGCTGATCATTAGTGCATATATGATGAATGGAGAGTTGCTTTTTTTTTTTTAATGCAATCCTCGATGAAGTGGCAGTCTACCTCAGTGTGTTTTGTGCGAGCATGAGAAACCGAATTGTTAGCTAGGGCGATAGCAAAAGTGTGTCACAATACACAATGGTGGGAGAATTTTGTGGTGTATGAAAGTCTTCGAGAAGATGTCTTAGCCATAGAATCTAAGATGCTTAAGAGGTTATAGCATGGTACTCAGCCTCTATGGAGGACCATGCTATGGTGCTTTATTTCTTGACTTGCCAAGATCTAAACAAATTGCCTAGGAAATTATAGTTGCAGGATATAGACTTCTGGCCTTGGTTGTTTCTTGCCCAATCCACATTAACGTATCCTCGTAGAGTGAGATTATTTCGTCGTAGGGGAATACATGTGTCGGAGGTTCCTTGAATGTAGCAAAGAAGACACTTGAGGGCTTCGTGGTGAGTGTTGAGTAGGTTTTGGATGTGTTGGCATAGTTGATGGACGGGAAATTTGATGTACATGTGAGTAAGCATAAGGTATTGTAGAGATCTAATGAGGTGGTAATAAAATTGAGGATTCGAAAATGCTTCTTGAGATTTAGCGTTGATAGTAGTTTTACATGATACCTGAGTGGAGACGGATTTGGATTTTTCCATTCCTGCACGCTCGATGATCTTCTGCGTATAGTAATCAATTGATTTAAGTTGGAGAATTATCTATGAGGAGGATGTCGTCGACGTAGATTAAGATATAGATGTGAATTGTGCTAGATTTATATGTAAGAAGGGAGTGATCGGAGGTGCTGATTTGAAACCCGAAGTTGAGCAAGTGGTTCAAGAGAGAGGCATACCACTCCTGAAGTGATTGTTTGAGATCGTACAAAGCTTTCTTCAAATTTTAGACTTAGTTGGGGTGGATGGAGTCATGAAATCCTGGAGGTTGGTGCATGTAGACAGTATCCGAGAGAGTGCCATAGAGGAAGGCGTTGGAGACATCGAGCTGATGAATAGTTCAATTGTGTTGCAGTGCAATGAGAATAAGCACACGTATAGTTGGCATTTTAACAACGAGACTAAATGTCTTTGTATAGTCTAAGATATGTTCTTGATTATATCCTTTGGCAACCAAGTGAGCTTTACAGCGGGCAATTGATCCATCTGAGTTGAATTTGGTGCGAAACATCCATTTGCAGCCAAGGATGTTCAAAGAAGTGGTGGGAGGAACCAACTCCCATGTACCTTGTGCTTGAAAGGTTTGAAATTCTTGAGACATTGCCATTCGCCATTGTTCAGATTTTACGGCCTAATTATAGGTAGTTGGTTCGTTGTGTTGTAGGATGTGTGCAAGATCAAAAAATTTCTTAGGTATGGAGTTACCGCTTTTGAGGCGGGTGATCATATAATGTGTGGGCATGCACCGAGGAGGTGCATGAGCTGTGGTTCATTGTTGAGTTTGATCAGCAGATGTAGAGGTAGTAGGTGCAGGAGTCGAGAAGACAGATACAGAGGCCGATTGATTGTGGTTTGGGAACGGGGAGCCGTTTGCGGATTGCGTGTGAGGGAGCATAGAAGGAGTGGATTTGGTGTTGTGAGATGTGGAGGTGTTGATGATTGTGGAAGGTATATTTGTTGTTGGAACTGATGAATTATGCCGTTGTAACGACAAAGAGTATTGAATTTGTTATTAATGAATTCTCCGCCATTGTCGGTGTGTAGTATACGAATCTTGTGATGAAATTGATGATTCACTAGTCGTTGAAATTCAAGAAATTTGATGAAAACTTCTAATTTTTGAACAAGAGCATAGACCCATGTAAATTTAAAAAAATCATCGATGAATGAAACATAACAGCGATAACCTTGAGTAGACATAATGGGAAAATGTCCCTAAAAATCTGAGTGAACTAGAGTAAAAGGTAAAGTAGTTACGGTTTGAGAATTAATGGTAGGTAAATGATGAATCTTGGCTATTTTACAAGTGTTACACATAGGCATTTTAGTGGAGATATGAATGTCATTGTGATGTTTGGCAATAGCAACAAGAATTTAAGCTGAAGGATGACCGAGCCGGCGATGCCAGAGGTCCGAAACTTGCTGAATTGATAGGAGAGCTAGTTGAGATGTTGTGGAGATATTTGGAAGCATGATGTGAAATGGGTAAAGTCTATTAATACACGGACCCATAAGAAGAAGGCGATGAGTCTTCCGATCCTTTATTTCGTAGCCGTGAGAAGAAAAGGTGATAATGTGATGCCCCAGGCATCCATAGTGAAAGGATTCGTCTGACATTCTGATCGAACTCCATTCCAGTTGCCTTGCTCGGACCTGAAATTGTCAACCACATATAATGAGCTTAAATAGCCCAGCAGGTCACCAAAGCCTAGAGAGGAATAGTAAGGGAACGAGATCTCACAGATAGCGCAGTTGTTATCATTAGCTAATTTATGAACGAATAAAAGATTGAATGATAGATCGGGAACAAGATTAAGATTAGATAATTTGAGGTTATATGTGGGTGTAGGAAGAATTTCTTTACCCATAGTGTGGATCAAAATTTGATGGTCATTTCCAAGAACGACCTGACAGGAGCCATTGTAAATTTGAGGGTGTTGCAATTGGCTTGGATCGAAAGTTAGGTGCGTGGAGGCACAACTGTCAATAAACCATTCCATCGACGGTGATTGTGACGGGGATATGAAGAGGGCTGAAGTAGGGTCGGTGTTGTATTGATCATCGTGGCGGTGCCAACATTTGATGACAGAGTGACCAAATTTGCCGCAGATTTGGCAAGTGATTGTTGGTTAGGTTGATTTTCCCCCACGATTCGCATGTGTGTTATTTGACGAGCGTCCATTGGTGTGACGGCGAGAGTAGGATGTTCATATGCGACCTCGTCCACAAGCAGCTGCGAGGGCTGTTGCGTTGCTGGAAAGTGGTAGGGACTGAAGTTCTTTGGCATTTTCATGAGCAAGGTTGAACTCCTCGCTTCATAGTAGGGTGTATAGTTCGTCCAAGCTGACCGGATGAAGTTTTATGTGGATGGAAATCCTAAATGCTTGGTATGTGTTTGGAAGCCATTAAAGAGTGTAATGGATCACATATTCGGTGTTAATCGGGGATTTCACTGCTGCCAATGCATCGACTTTAGATTTTACTTCAAGATGGTATTGAGTCATTGATTTGTCTTTCGTGGACAAGAAATGTAGCTCGTTCTTCAATTGAACAATTCTTGATATAGTGGATGATTGAAGCCGGCGATCGAGCGTTGTCCATATGTCCGTATAATGATCTACCGAAAGAACATATAGCAAGATTGCGGGTGAGATGACGGAGTAGAGAGTTGTGGTGAGGTTTTGGTCGAGCAAGATCCAATTGGTGTACGAAAGAATTAGGTGTGAGTTTGCCATCTTTGGTGGGTAGAGACGTAGGTGGGCAGGTGGTTGAACTATCAAAGAAGCCTTCGAATCCGTTGGCACGAAAGAGTTTGAGCACTTGAGACCGCTAAAGAGAATGGTTCTATGCCGTAAGGGGTTGCACAATAATGTTCTTCACATTGTTCATCAAGAATTTGAGTGAGGAAGGAATTTGTGGGGAGGTGAAAGAACTGGCGGGGAGGAAGGTTGTCCGCCTGATCGATAGAGGAAATAGCAGCAGAGTGATTCATCGGGTAGAGGAGAGGATCAAGACTTATGATACCACGTAGAAAGAGAGAAGAAAGCTTTCAGGAGAAATAGAAAAAGCAGGAGAAAACTTGTGTATATTCCTTGTTCTTTTTATAGAATACAAAAGAGTAATATATATAGAGAAATACAAAAAAGTACAATAGACAACAAGTAGGTATGGCTGGTAAGCCAATTGGAACAAGCCACATGTACAATGTGGCTAACAATTCTTATCACCCATACAATTTTATAAATTTTAGTATTTTATTTCATGTATTTATATTTGTTCTATAGATGATAGAAATGAAATATTAAAATTTTAAGTATTAGATATGTAAATAATATGAAATAAAGTGATATATATATATATATATATATATATATATATATAAACCCCAGTTATTTCATAATAATTTAAAGAATATCATAGCTTTGAACGCGGTATGAATCTTCGTCGACGAACTCTTCATTAGCTTCGAGCGGCTCCGATGTCTACGACCGGATTGGCCGACTCGGCGTGTTTGTGCAGGTCACCGATAAACGATCTTCCTTCGTTGGGATCAGAACTAGGGTTTTCTTGAATCAGTTTTAGCTTTCGTGCTCTCAGAATAATCGGGGAGAAAAGATGGAATCGAAATATAGTCCGCTCGATTCTTCCAACATAGGCTTTCAGGTATTTTTTTGCTTTCTCTATGCCACGGTTTGATCTTCCCTTTGTTATCCTTTATGGCTGATGTTCAATCTGTCGGATATTTGCAGCTATTGAGGAAGAGTGGTTGGAAGGAGGGTACGGGTCTGGGAGCCTCCGAGCAGGTTAGGGCTATTTGAATAATTCTTTTAATTTTGCTTTAGTTATCATTGCTCTTGGTTTTTCATGTGTGAACTGAAACGTATTGGTTAGGGCATGAGTTTTTGTATCATACATTTTTAGAAAATAAATTAATTAGAGATTTTCTTGATCATCGTATTCTGTGATTGAGATTTTTATTTTTTTTTTTATGGAAATTTACATACATACCACTTTATAACAGAAGGTAATTGGGACATAATCCTTGCAGTAAGAGTGCTGGTGCTTTTAGAATATCATAAGGATATAATTTTGTTATGCTCTCACTGTTTACGATAAAAATCTTGTTGGCCTTAAAGATATTCATATGGCCTGCCGGAGGTCAGAGGATTATATTATATACAAGTGATTCCAGTATACTTCTCCTTGGTCGTGAAAAGACTCTTTGGTGAAATGAAAAAGTTAACCAAACATTGAATGAAGAGAAGTGCTAGAGCGGGGTGTTGCAAAAAGAAGTAATTTTCTGACAGACCAACAACAATGGAAACTATAACAACCAAAGGCAAAGAAAGTAATGTTGGTTTAAGGCACAACAAAGGGTGTTCATTTTCGCACTAAAGAATTTAATTTGAAATCAACCAATCCAATTTCACTCATGAAGCAGTAGGGTTACAAACTTACAATGCACAATGGAATAACATAAATCAATGCATCCTATGCATTGCAAAAAATCTTCAAGTAAATCGCACTAACTAGAAGTCGTGCACAATAAATATGAACATCCGATACTTGAATCACCACAATAACATGTAGAGCAATATCTAGTTGATTACAAAAAATATGATACTGATGTTAATGACATAAAGTTCGTGAAGAGGATGACAATGTATAGTCAATATCAAGATAGCTCTACAACATTAACATGTGATCATGTAATCATTTAAAACATCATATGTAAACAAGAGAAGTAATAAGGCAACTAATGTAAATCTTGCTGGAGAACAAACGGACACAAAGATTTTTATGTTGTTTAGGCTCATTTAGGCCTAAGCACCCCTCATTTAGAATTTCAACACTTATCACTCTTTCCCCCGTAAGCCAGTAGAGAAACTGTGACTCCTTTGCTTGCAATATAGTGGAGAAATTGATTCACCTTCTTTCTTCAAGGGGAAGAGCACCATCACATTAATAATGGCTAAGGGTTCCCCTGTAAGCTAATGCTTGGTAATTGTAGAAGCATCTTCTTCCAAAATCTTCCATGTTTTTGGCAGTGAACACAGGCAATCACCAAAAAATAAAGAACAATACAAATCTTCCCTCTAGATTGTAAAATACAGAGAGTAAAACAACTTGCAATCTTTCTAAAGATACTGTGAGAGAGATGCCATCAAAATTTTAAGCTTTAAAGAGTGAAAAATGGATGAGCACTTTTACTTTTCTTCAATATTTCACTATAAAATATATAACCATAAAAGCACATATTTGTTTCTTATTTCAAGTATTTGTTCATATCATTTTGTTGTCTATTTAGAGCCTCATGAATGACAAACGAAAACTATGAAAAATAGCATAAAAATCCTAAATTTTTTTTGTAGAAGCTCTTTCTAACGGCTCCAAATACTATCATTTGGATAGTGGATACCCTTTCAGGAATTGTTGGAGGTTCATTATGTAGCCAAGAAATGGTAAAAAATTAGTTAAATAATGGGCAAGTTATTGTAAACCTGTTGGAAATAGAAGTTTTAATTCTACCACAACTTAATGATTTTACATAATAAATATATAATATTATAAATGAAAATTTATGTAAAAACTCAATGATTCTAATGGAATAAAATTTAAGCCCAATTCTTTCACCAAGAAGATTTAATTTATAATTTTTTTAGCAAATTTAATGGATTAAAATTGGAAATTTGGGATGTAAAAAATATGAGTGATCAAAAGCACAACTATAAAATATTTTTAGCAAATTTAATGGATTAAATTGGAAATTCAGTATCAAATAAATTTGCAAAAAATATGAGTGATCAAATACACAACTATAAGTTATATAAGCACATGATCCCCAAATATATAGTTACTAAATAATTTACACATAATTATTTAATTAGTAATAAATCAAATAAATAGAAAATCAATTCAAATGAGTTCAAAATATAGTTTGAATAAATATAGCTAAATGTTAATTCATATTACTTTGAGTTCATCATTGTTTTCTCCCTAGTAAAAAATATTCAATCAATTTACATTGAATAACTTTTAAACACATAAACACACAAGACTAATGACCTTGGAAATTTCATTTATACACTTGCAAATAGAATCATCATCACCATGGTTTAAATCAATAATGAGCAAATCATAATATTTATGATATACACTAAGGATCTTGAGGTCATTAAGTAGTAATCTTATTGTACTCAACCTTGTCAGAAAAATATTATGCTATTTCAACAGCTGACAGAGAGCCTTGCATGCTCCTTGACCAAGGGATCTGTCTAACAATTACCACTAATATATTTTATGTTATCCCATTTGAATCTCACAGTAAAGATTTGGGAACACATTCCTATCTAATAAGTTTTTTTCTCTATATTATTTTGTTTTCTTGTGCAATCTTTTTACTATTTCAACTTATATATTTCCTAATATTGCCAAAATTGTGCTCTCTTAGCGCAGGGTAGGCTTGAACCAATACAAACACAAATAAAAAAGAATAAGTGCGGGATTGGTGCTCAGATGAAAAAGAAGAGCTCAACGGAGCATGTCGCCGACACCCGAAAGGAAAATGTGAGTCGTTTTTACATGCTTAACATTAGCTTCCTTCTAAAAAAGTTTAAAATTCTACTGATTAGTTTTTTGGCTTCTATTTAATTATCCAAAATATGTTAAAGAATGGATCTTTGAGTTTATTTGTTTGATTCTGTTATCTTTCCATCTTGCTTCTTAGATCCATAGCTAGGAAGCTATGAAAGAACAAACACCAACACCAATATGATATTTACAATCATAACATTATTATCAAAAGTTGGTCACAATACATCATAGATAGACATGATATTTTTTTATAGAAATTATAAATATAAAATGTGAAATCATCAAAAAGTATCATGCAATGAAGTATAAAATTTTCACATAAAAAACTCAATGATAAACAAAAGAAAAATTAACATGGTTTTAATTACAACAACACTGATATTAATATTAATGATTATACATAATTTTTTTAATATCAATATTGTACTATCCACATGAAGTGCTAAAAAGCATTGTAATGCAGATGCTTCTCTTGTTTGAGAAAAGATTTTGAACCTAAATGGCTACATATTTATCCACTTGCAGTCTGAGAAGAGACCAAAGGCAATATCAAAAAGGTTAAGAAAAATGCTGCAAGAAGAGCAGCGAATGAAAGAGAAGGAATTTGATCAAGCTTTCTTCAGGGATTTTTGGCCAGATAATGTTTGAAGCATTTGAACAATTATGTTTGCCTGATTCAAACAATTGAAACTTGCAGAGAGGTATCTTCTTTTTCTTATTCGATTTGTGTTTTGTATATTGATCTATGTGGCAACAAAATTAGGTTTTCTGTAAATTAAGAACTTTTCAGCTTCTGTTACATAATTCATCCTGCATGAAAATAATATCATAATAATGAGTGAATTATATAACTCAATCAATGGTTAGACCCGTGAAAGAAAGCAAGCAAGCTTACCCAAACTGCATAAAATGTTGTCATACTAGAATATTATATTTTATTAAATAATAAGGTTTGATGTTAAAATTAGTCTTCTTAAAGTAAGTTTTTAATAAAAAATTAAAATTCTTGTATTAAAAAGCAACTTTAAGAAGCAATAAAAAAATCATCCAAACGAAATCTTAGTAATATATTTTTTATATAATTACCAATAACTTAGGTATTTCAACATATTTAATATGTTAGATATGCAAAATAATCAAATTAGGAATAAATTATCCATAGCATATTCAATGTTCAATTGTTCATAGGATAAACTTGACAGAGTAGTAAGCAATTCCCTAATATTTGTAGAACAAGCTCATCAACTTTTTTGCCAAAGTGACCAGAATGGATGGTTGATCTGAAATGGCTCGTTTGGGATTAAATTATAATTAATTTTATATTAATTAGATTGGAGTAATAAGTTATTTTATGATTAAATTGGTCACATATGAGTAGCCTAAGAATTATTTTGAAAATTTTTTATATAAGAAATAGTAAGGTAGTCAATTAAAAAATATGTTGCAAAAGATATATGCAATTAATTAATTGCTTTATTTAACTATTTTTTATCTTATATAGCATATACAGCACTCACAAGAATAAATAAAGATAATTCATAACAATGATGATTAAGATTTTATTTTGGATTATTTTCTTACTGCTTTTTAATATAATTTTTAAATATTTTTTTCTTTAAATTGAAAAACTTTCTACAAAAGAGCTATCTTAAAAAGCAAAAAAAAAAAAAAATCACAAATGAAGCCGCTTATTAAAGAAACTTTTTCTTTATTATTTAAAGTTCGATTGCTGACATAAAGTGCTGAAAATTACAAAAGCTAATCTTATTTTGTTAAGAAATTCATCAACTTAGATCATATTACTTTTACTCGGCTTAAATTAAATTTAGGTTTTATTTTTTATTCTATCAACATTAAAATAATTATATAAGTACAAGCTTCACAAAAATAAATCAATGAACTATTAAATATTAAAAAAAATGCACTAAAAAAATTGCTTTATAAAAAAATAAAACCGCTGTTCCAAACAAGCCTTAGGCTGCGTTTGAGACGGCTTTCTTATTGCTTCTTAAAGCAGCTTTCTAGTACAAAAATTTTAATTTTTGTACTATAAAGCTGCTTTAAGAAGCAATAAGAAAGCCGTATCAAACAAAGCCTTAGTCAAACATGTGAAGCTAATGAAGTTTATTATGTAATGATCTAATTTGACTTTATTTAATTTTGCATTTTATGATAGGAATTTTAGAAATTATAGAGAACTTTGCTAAACATTACAAAGAAAATCACAGGACATTTTAAAACTTAATAAATAGATAGAGAGAGAGAGATGAACATGTTTAATAAGATTATTAATTTCTTTTTACAAACATTTTTATTCAATCTTTTTTTTTTTTTTTTGCTTATGCAAGTTCAAAAAATCAAACTTCTAATTTAGATTTATCTAAATAAGTTATTGAATTTGCCGCCCATCTCATTAAAGTTTCGTTTGAGATTATCTAGTACAAAAATTTTTTATAAAAAAGCTGCCTTAAGAAGCAGTAACAAGCCATCACAAATGAAACCTAAATCCTCATTCTGCCACTGTATCATGTTATGGAACATAAGATTGATTCTTTCAACCATTCCACTACTAACAAACCCCTTAACCACATATCTTAATTATACCCAATCTAAAGTAGCTTTCTAACTAAGTATATATATATAAACCAACATAACTTTTTTTAATCAACCGATCAAATTCAAATGTTTAACGACCATATTGCATTTATGAAAGTTAAAAATGAAAAATTTCAAGTACAACAAAGCAATTCCCATTAGAAAAACAGCAAAACAGAAGAACTTCTTCAGTGCAAACATTATAATAAATTCTATTTTCAAAAATTGAATGACCATAAAACTGTTGCATCATGTGATGCTTCGTGTGGGACAACTTTCTTAAAGCTTCTTAAAACAGATTTTTAATACAAAAATTTTAATTTTGTACTAAAAATTTGTAAGATCAAACTTCTAATTTCAATTTATTTAAATAGGTTATTGAATTTGCCGCCCATCTCATTAAAGTTTCGTTTGGGACGACTTTCTTACTGCTGCTTAAGGCAATTATCTAGTAAAAAAATTAATTTTTTTTTTACAAAAAAAACTGCCTTAAGAAGCAGTAACAAGTCATCCCAAATGAAACCTAAATCCTGATTCTGCCATTGTATGTATATTATGGAACATTAGATTGATCCTTAACGACCATATCGCACTTATTAAAGTCAACAATGAAAATTTTCAAAGTACAACAAATCAATTCCCATCAGAATAACAGCAAAACCGACGAACTTCTTCAGTGCAAACATTATAATAAATTTTATTTTCAAAAATTGAATGACCATAAAACTATTGCATCATCTAATGCTTCGTGTGGGACAACTTTATTAATGCTTCTTAAAGCAACTTTTTAATACAAAATTTTTAATTTTGTACTAAAAAACTGTTTTAAGAAGTAAGAAAGCTGTCTCAATGAAGCATAAGGCTTCGTTTCAGATGGCTTTCTTTCAGCTTCTTAAAGCAACTTTCTAGTACAAAATTAAAAAAATTTGTACTAAAAAGCTGCTTTAAGAAACATAAAAAAAGTCGTCCCTAACGAAGCCTAAATCAAAGACAAAAACAGGTGAGAATTGAAGAGCAGATTACTCAGTTTTGGTGTTTACCTGTGCTGGGTCTCAAAAGTCGAACTGGTGCTGCTGGAATGCGATCCCACCACTCTTTAACTCTTCGTTTAATCTTATCGTTACTCTTCTTCCTCAAAGGCATCTCTTGTGTGAATGCGTCGAGAAGCATTAGCTCTACAAGAAGCTTGAAAGGTAGAAAGGCAATCGCTAAAGCCATTACAATCATGGCAATTACAACTCTGTCAGTAGCCTGAAGATAGGAATGGAGAATTTGATGAGAGTTCAAACAGTTACAGGAACTGCAGGTTCTTCATGAAAATTAACAGTTGAAATATGAATAAATTCCTTTGTTTAAATGGTGAGACATAAAAAAAATGATTTTTTTATTAATATTTTGATATCTGATTGTTAAATGTGATGAGTTGAAACATAAGGAATACGTATGATAAGAAAACAGAACCTAAAGAATGGATGGTTGGGCTAGAAAAACTAGCATGGAAGTTTCAAGCTAGGAAATGGATTCAACATAATATACACACACATACAACTCTTAAAGGGGCAAAATATTTTTATAAGATGATCAAAATAACCAAAAACATGAAATTGTATAAAATTGATAAAAATGAAGTTCAACTGCCTTTTAAAAAGATACATGAACTTAAAGCTATAAATTTGACTGAGGCACTTTTTAAAATTTGAAAATTTATGGGTGATGTTAAATTATTTTAATTAATTATCAGCATTGTTAGTTGTATCACAACTATTTGTGGTTGGCTTCATCCTGTTAGGACTTGAGCACCCAAATCAGCGAACAAACAGTAAAATTCAGCAAACCAACAAATTTTTTTGATAAGAAAGAAACACAAACAAGCAAGATATAATGGTCCTCTTACGAGAGGACATTCTCTCCCAAACTCTAGATGCCGCTAAAATCCCTTACAAAAGCAATGGATAGCAAGAACACTCACAAAATCTGCATGAAGAAAAGAAAAATACAATAAAAAGGTCTAATATAACTCTCCCTATTTCACCCCCCCTAAAATCTGAACTTACTCCATGTTTTCCCCCCACATTCTCCTTTGATAATTGATCCACTCCTTCAATTCTCCACCCTTTCCAACCTCCTATTCAACTTGGCAGTTGCTCCCCTCACCTGGGCCCTTATCCTTGACCACCTGGCCTTCCTGCCCTATTCTAAGCGCCGGCCTGCTTGGTTGAGCTGGCCCTATTTCAAACTGGCTGTAATGAATGGATCTGCTTAGCCGATCTATCAATACTCCTCCCCGCCCGGTGCAAGTGATCCAACTGTAACTAAAGATTGTTTATTAAAGATTGAGAAAATCATTGGTAGTATGATTTGTTCAGACAATAGAAAGGTTGTATTGACTATTTTTGTGTTGGAAGGTGTGGCAGAAGGATGGTGATAAACTCAGCATAGAGAGAAATTTGGATTGATGCCTATCACTACATTTTAATGGGATGATTTCATACGGGTATTTAGAGACTGATTTATTCCTCCATCAGTAAGATTAGCATCTCAAGACAAATTCTTCAATTTGACTCAAGGTTCAAAGAAAATCATGCAATACGTGGTAGAGTTCACTTCACTATCTAGATATGCACCTCACTATGTCAGTACTTAGGAAGAGAAATATCATAGATTTTTGAATGTCTCAGGAATCAATTGAGATTATCATTGACAGACTTTGATATAAGTGAATTCTTAGTTTTAGTGGAGAGAGCGAGAAGAATTGAAAGTGAGTTGAATTTTTTTAAACAAAGTTTGGAACAACAGGTAGACAAACGAAAGATTTTCAAGAAGGATGATCAATTTAGAAATAAGAAGCTCAAATTTGACAGCACGCTAGAACAAGCTCAGTCTGTGATAATTGTGGGAAAAGGCATTTTTGTCAGTGTCTTGTTGGTAATGTAAAGTGTTACAGATGCAGAGAATTGGGACATCACAAGATGGACTACCCTTTGAAGAAGAGAAGCAATGCATGGCCATAGGAATATCCAAAACTTGGACAATATCAGAGATATTTGGAAGGCAATAAGGCAGGATTGTGACACCGATTTGGTGATAAATTAAAATCAAACTCAGTCTGAGTCAAAATTAAATCCCATTGCCTGATGTTTTTCCTGTCAAAGGAACGCAGCAAATTTTACAAACTCCTGTTAACAATCTCTGTTTGATCGTCAGTTTTGGGGTGATCACTCGAACTATGAATTAAAAATTTGACAGAAAGTAAAATATTATTTTAGGATTAGATAAAGGTATGTAAAATATTTTTGAGTGTAAGATTTAAGATCTTAAGATTTTGACTATGCAAGGAGAATCTAATGCTATGTGAAAAAAGTAGTTAGTGATATTAAAAATATTACGAAAGATCTGCTTGGAGTATTAAAAGGAAAAAAACTTTAATAATAAAAATAGTTGATGGTGAAATTAAAATGTAGAAGAAAAAATAAAAAATAAGAAATTTTATTCTAAAAATTGTTTGAATGTAAAAGCTGGAAAAATTTGTTAGAAGGTCGGATTTCGGTCCGTTCTGAATCTGGTTAGCCCAAACATGATTCACTTAATAAATGAGTCAATAATGTGTACCTGAACCCAGAGGGGGTGCACATGCCCCCTAAAAAAAATTGCGGACTTAATTTTTTAAGCGATTTTTGCCTTGATTCGTTCGTTCAAATGCTCTGCTCCTTTTCGAGTCTCAACCTCTTGTCCGATCTTGATACACACACTTTTCCTTTGCCTCTAGTGTAGACTCGCAGACTTTCGGCCCCTTTTGCTCGGCCTTGACCTTGACTCCAAATTCCCAAACGCATGCGGTCGTAGAAGTCGACCTTGTCCACAAGTTGATCCAGGTATTGAGTTTTTTTTTTGTTTGATTAATAGTCGACCTCGTCTATTGATGGATCAAAGCATTTAGGCGTTCTTCCCATTACAACTGAAGCAACTATTTTTTGTGTTTTTAAGGGATATTTAACTCATCAATCTTATTTGTGCTGTTTATTATCAAGATTTTGTTTATTTGGTTGCTCTTAATCAAATAAACTTTACACTTCTGCTACTTGGAAGACGTTTGCTTTTTATTTCTTTTTTGATTATTTTATCTCATTTTCCGTTTCATCGGGCTTGTTATGTGATAGAAATGTACCCCCTCAAACTTAAGGGAAAATTCTATAAGATGGTAGTGAGGCCTGCAATGTTGTATGGTGCTGAATGTTGGCCATTAAAAGAGAAGCATAATACTAAGTTAAGTGTGGCAAAGATGAGGATGCTCAGGTGGATGAGTGGCTTTACACTTAGAGATAGGATACGAAATGAGCATATACGTGAAAAGGTTGGAGTAGCTCCAGTAGAAGATAAGATTAGAGAGAGTCGCCTTAGATGGTTTGGTCACATAAAATGGCGGCCTTCCAATGGCCCGGTTAGGAGAGTAGAGGTATTAGATTTGACTTATGTTAAGAAAGGTAGAGGCAGACCTAAAAAGACTTGGTTAGAAAATATTAGGAATGACCTTTCTTTATTAGATTTAAACGAAAATTTGACCTTTAATAGGACACAATGGAGAAAAAGGATTCATGTAGCCGACCCCACGTAGTGGGATAAAGGTTTGATGTTGTTGTTGCATCTTCCCTCAACATATCATTTTTGTGATTCCCCCTTGCTTCCGATGGAGCCGCCTTAGCTTGATTCTTCAACATATGTGTCATCATCTCCTCGAGATTTCCATACCCTTTACTCGATTCCTCCCTAGGAATATGTTATAGGGGAAGCATTTTCTCTTCTCCCTCCACAATCTTCATCTCCTGATCTTCCCTTTGCCTTATCGGATAAGAATTTTCCCCACTTTCTTGGATGGTGACGGCTTCCTTTGCCTTCGACAACATCGTTTTGGGTTGGCCCTTGAGCAACTTCTTCAACATTTCCTCCAGGATGAAAAATTTTTCATCGATCTTCTCATGGATGAGAATTATTTTTCAAAATCTGAATTTTTTTCTACAAAATCTAATTTCAATTGACTGATCTCTCCTTCCAAAACTTATATCTTTCTCCCGGCCATAGGTACCCCAAATCGATGCTCTGATATCAATTTGATAGAAAACGCTTGTACGAACAAGAATTTCCCTCGTTAAATTTGAATTTCAGCTCTTGCAAAAACAGATTGGAGAATAATTTGGAAGAAATAACTAGAAATAAACCATTTAATTGACAAAAGACAGAAGAAAACAAACAAGATACAATAGATCCTCAACTGGAGAGGAGAACATGTCTCCCCCAATCTCTAGCGGGCAACTAGAGCCCAAACAAACCCTAAGAACTCTCCAAATTTCAGTAAAATACAATATACCTAACCCTAGGTCTACAATACTACTTAAAGCATTCAAAATTCGCAAAATACCCAAAACAACCATCCTAATTTGAATTTCCCTCCTAATCACCCCCTAAATTCCTTCTTTAATTACTATTGGACCCCACGTGTAGAGGGGGCGGGAGTTACTGGGCGGAACACCCGCATGTATGAGCAGAGCAGGCGTCTGCCTGTTTGAGCGGAAGGAGCTCCGTAGCCCTTTGGCCGGTCCAGGAGGGACCGGCCCAACAAAGATTGGTCCAGGAAGACCGGTCTAACATAATGATTATCAACATTAGCCTGATCCAGTTTTTTAAGTGTTGTTTAAGATGTTAAATCTAATCTGAAATGACTCTCTAAACAAAAGCTTCTCTCTAAAGAGAAAAAAGACTTATTTATAACCAATCATAAAGCTAATGAGAACACAAATTATCAAACAACTCCTATTTAAGAAAATAAGGAAAACAAGAAATAAAACAAATTAAAGAAACCTATATATTGACAGCTCTACCTATATAACTTAGAGGTTTAAAGACTAATCAAATAAACCCTTATCAGCTTCAATCTCTGTAAGGTCCAAAAATTATCGTAACTGTTGATTGTTAAAACTAAGCTAGCACATTGCATACAAGACAAATAAAAACTTGTGCATCATGTGTGGCATGGTTTCAACAGTACAAAGAGGAAATTAAGATTCAATCCTGTACTATTTACTTGAAAGTGATTTGAAATAGTTGGGCAAAATAAATACTAGCATGCCAAGTGTTAATATAGATGACAATTCTTCCTCTCTAATCCTTCTATAGCAAGCAGCTAATTCCACAAAGTCTAAATGGAAAGACTGAAAGTTCCCAAATACAATGATTACATTTTTATTTTTTAGATGCATGAGGAATTGTACCTCCAAGAAAATTAATTTTACAAAAATTTATTTACCATTTGTGCAATCATCCAAATATTCTATTTTATGAACTAGTTATTTGATCAGGAAATAAACCTGTGGGGCGGCAGCAAGCAAAAGAGATCTTAATTTAAGTAAAACCACATTCCCAGTTTGGATATAGGCCTCTAGCTGTGATATAGCTTCCTGCAATGTCAGAAGTTGCTCAACAGCATTTTTGCTCGGGGGAGGAGTGACTTGAAAAGCTTTCATTCGTTGTATCTTCTTTCGGTATTTATTCCAAAGCATGAGAACTGCAAGATAAAAGAAAATGGAAGGAAATATGTACTTGATCCAATCCCTGGAATTAAAAAACAATTTGGTCAAGATGTAGCAACAAACACTACGAAACGTAAGGCTCAGATGTTTAATCAGATTCTTCTTACAAAACTAGTAATAGCTGCAAGATGCAGAAATCATGGCCGAAAAAAGGTTAATTTTCCATTCATGACAAGAAAGAACTGAAAAAAAAAGCAGCAAGATGCAATATAGTGAACATCAATCCATTATTAAAATACTAAAATACCAAAATATCATCTATGCACATGTCAATTTGCCTACAACCGCTGAAATTTGCCTTAAAAAAAGGGTGGAGCATTATTTCAAAGTTTCTCTGTTTTTCATGTGTCAACCGTGCCAATATAGATCATTCAATTGTGTTAAACATTCCTCTCCAAGAAATACAATTATTGTACCGTTTTCACTCAGACATGTTAATTCCTTGATAGGGATAAGACCACGTCAAGTCTGAAAAAGAACTCCTGAATTTCTAGTGTGGACTGACTCAAACTCATGCAAAATTGATTTGTCTTCTAAAACATGATGCTCGATGCAGACAGCAGAACAATGACATGACATAGCAGACACAAAACACTTAATATGTTTTAAATTATAAGGCATGAATGAAGGGTTGGAGATGATATGTGATAAATATAGCTAATATGAGAGGAAATATAGAGTTTGATAAAGTTAGATTTATTAAAAGTGAAGATTACCTTTAATAAAGATGAAGACCTTGTTATGTATGGAATCTGATTGTGTTGATCAATTTAGTTATTTTGTTGTCTCGAATCTCAAAGCTTGTTGTGTTTGTGTGTGCGTTCGTGTGTGTGTGTGTGTGGGGGGGGGGGTTCACCTTCTGCTTGGGTTCAAAAAAATTTTTTCCCATATAACGCCCCGGCACTACGTACTCGAGTGCCCTAATGCTGTGTTCCCGAGCGACAATATAGATACATGCCGCAGCGGTGTTCACATACAATGTTGAATGACAGAGAGCAGAGTGCTGCAACAGTATAGGCACGCGCTGCAGCGGTGCAAGACAGAGGCTTGAGCGTCGTAGGGCCCCAAACTGGCGCTGCAGTGTTCCGAGACGGATTAGACGGTTTTCTTTCTCGTTTTAGTTATTTTACTTGACTTTCTCTTGTATTTTGAGTGTGTATACATTAAGAACGTTGTATGTAAGTAGAGAAGTAAGGAGAGAGTGAGAGAGAAGAGAGATATATACTTATTTCTCCCAATTTTCATAATTGATTTCTTGGTGTGATGTGGCTCCATAGTTTTTTCCCTATTTTGAATTTTTCCAAGTTAAATCCGGGTGTCCTTTAATTTTTCATTGCTTTTACTTACTTGTCTGTTTCTTCATTGTGGTGTTTACTCCTCGCCATCTCCCCAACAACTGGCATCAAAGACAGGTTATTTAGATCAAGTGGGAGTAATGGCAGACAAAGCAAGGTACAAGATGAAGTTTAATGGTTCGAATTTCGCATTCTGGATGATGCAAATTGAAATTTTGTTGTGTCAGAAGAAGTTGTATTTACCATTGGAAGGAATCACCAAGAAGCCGAATTCTATGACTATGGAGGAATCAAAGGTTCTTGACCGAATTGCACTAGGTTTAATATGACTTTCACTTTCCTCATTTATTGCATTCAACATGGTAAATGAGAAGACTACATTCGATCTCATGGCCGCACTGACCAAGATGTATGAGAAGCTATCGACCTCAAACAAAGTGCTCTTGATGAAGAAGTTATTCAATATGAAGATGTTGTACGACACTCCAATGGCGAAACACTTAAATAATCTAAACACTGTGATTAGTCAATTGTGTTCAGTTGGCATCAATTTTGAAGATGAGGTGAGAGCATTGTTGTTGTTATTTTCATTGCTAGAAAGCTGGGATGGGTTTGTTACTATTGTGAGTAACTCTTCAGGAAATTCAAAGTTAAACTTTGAAGGCATTATGGGGTTAGTGTTTAATGAAGAAGTTCGTAGGAGGAAAAATGATGAATATTCAAATTCTGCTCTAAATGTTAAAGCAAGACTGCAAGAGGAAGGGTTTTTTGAGAGAGGTCCAAACAGAGGGACGTCTAAATCCAAGAGAGAAAAGCCTACTTCAGGTAGAAGAAAAGTTGTGTGCTGGAGCTAGGGAAAGTCACTTGAAGGAATGTACAGTTCCAAAGAAGGGCAGTGGTCGAGGTCAAGACAAAAATTATTCTGCAGATGTATCTACAAAAGAATGCCGGTCAGATTATTTGATTTTAACTCTGGACAATTTTGAATCTTGGGTGATATATTCAAGTGCTTCTTTTCATGCAAGTCTTAGCAAGGAGGCATTCAAGAACTATACTCAAGGTGACTTGCGTAAAGAGTATCTCGGGGACAATAAGCCCTGCAACATTGTTGGATAGGGAGATGTTGATATTAGAATGCCAAATGGATCAATTTGGAGACTCAAGAATGTTAGACACGTTCCTTGTCTGAAGAGAAGTTTAATTTCTATGAGTCAGCTAACAAACTCAGGCTATGTGACATCATTCACATAAGATACATGAAAGGTGACAAAAGGGGCTATGGCTATAGCTTGTGGAAGTATTAAAGGCAACCTATACGTTATCAATAGAAGACCATATTCTATACGTTCATGTTAAACCTTAAAGGTCTATAATAAGAAAAATTAATTAATAAAAGCATAAAACCAACTTGAATATGATCCTCTGTCAGCAACTAACAAAGTCGACAAGGTTCAGTAAATAAAATGCAATTCCCTATAATCACCCCGATGATGTTGAACGCAGGTCTCAACCATAGGGGTTCACAAACACTTAAAAATGCTTCCCAAATGCTCGAAAATCTAAAACTCCAAAAATTTCAAAACCTGAAACATTTAAAATTGAAATAAATCACCAAAATGCTTAAAAGCAGAACCTATCCATCCTCCGTAATAGTTTGTCGAGGTGAATAAATTCAAATATCACTTCGACTCACAAAAAGCTAATATCTGGTCGAGAATATCACTAGGGTTCATTCTCAAATAATCTCTTGCAAGCAAAGACGTGACATGTGTCAAATGACACTGCAGGTAAACGGTTATGACTGGGACCCTCTGAACCGAGTGATTTTGCCGCCAAATGGCACCACTAAATTACGTTAATAGCAGAGCCAATAAATTCCGCAATGGCACTAAATCTTTGAGATATGAATCAATATGACACAAAGCTCTCTGTCAGCTAAGGTAGATTCAAATTTGACCTCTTAGACAAATACTCACACCCTAGGTCTACAAGGTACTATTGGACGAAGCAACCCATGGTTGTCGACAATGATCCTTCTATCAGGTTGGGTCGATTAGCTACTCTGACTAAGTAGAGCAGGGACCACGATAGCCCGAGACGATGGAACCATGGGATTTTGATCGGGTCCATCATCCATTCCTCCACCATCTGCTTTAAGTGCAAGATGGTGAAATGTTCAATTTTAAAATTTAAATTTTCAAATCCCAAACCAAGCTGCTACTATACGCTGGATATCACTTATCTATGGATACGATGTATTAATTGACGACTGGCCTTAATCGAAAGTTCTCTCTCGTTATCGGGAGTAGTAATTAACTATAGGGCTTGCGCCTAAAGAAAATCAGAACCCAGATCACAAAGTCCTCGCAAAATGAGGGCGAAATTTCTAGACAGTGTTCTATCTACAAACTCAATCTACCTTCTAAAAATTTACCTCGGAACATAATCCGTTAAAACTCCCTAAAAGAGGGGAGTCCGGGGCGCGAATTTTTGGAGACCACATACTATAATTTGTTTTGATTTGTTATAAAGTTAACTTGCGAATTTACCGGCCCAATAATCAGATCTTTATATCATTCTCAAGCTCAAGCTCAAGCTCAGGCAACCTTTTAGAACAGATCAGGCACTGTAGCCTTTGAGCAACTCAAGCAGGTCTGCCAAGAGTACTTTCGATGGGTCTAAGTTAATAAGTTAATAAAACAGGCCAAGATAATGCCCAAGCTTAGTTGTTAAATAGATTGGATCATTCTGATATCCGGTTTTATAATGTACAAATTGCAATTCAACCTAGCTATTTAAATTAACAGCCAATTTATCAATTTTATCATAAAGAACTTATTGAAATTCATATCAAATGCCGATTTTAAACATAACTGTGCAGAAGACAGCATGGATAAAATACCTCATGCTGCTTATGGGAGGCTTTCAATATCCTATGCTAATATATGCCAAATAATTGTGTTTAATAGACCATAGATAGTATAAAGCAAGTTTTCCATAGAAACTAAAGCCAGTTTTTGAAAAGTTAAATAGGAGAAAAAAGGTAGAGCTTTAAAATCATTTCTACTTGTATGGATAAAGTTGGCTCATGATATAGTGAAAAGCCTATATATTAGTACACAGAATTATAGTTCAATTGAGAAAACCTAGAGGTTTTAAATCATTCCTGGCTATTATTCCATCTGTTTTATAGCTTCTTTGCAAGTCCTTCAGTAACAAAGCAACGTAAGACATAAAAAATGCTTAGTTTTATGGTAAACCAGGATAATAGCAATGACTTATAATTATATACATTGATTACGCTTTGTAGGAACAACAAATTAGATCATCTTTTACATGATACTACAAAACTATGTTCAAATATCCAACTTTTTGAACAGTTTAATGCATAGTTAAAAGAGCGGAACAGTAGCAAATGTAAGCTAATCTCAAGCAACAAAAACAAATTGTTAAACCACAGCTAAATTTTACAAAATAAGAGTACGATAAAAAAACTGCTGGATCAATTAAGACTTATCAACATTAAAGGTTAAGACAAAATCCCAAATGAGCTTTAGTAGAGCTTTTAATAACGGGGATATCATTCACTGCTGCAAGCTGTCAAGCCACCAACCATATGACCTAGAATACTTAAATTAAAATTGCTTCCTTAAGCAGTTTAAACCCAATTCCATAAAATAACAATACTACAACTTACAATCAACAAACTGATGTGATACCACATGCGAAAGGAGCTTGTTAAGAAATTTTAAGAATCATTGACAATGAAATCTCAATTAATAACTTATTGAAATAACAAGCAAATTCATTAAAGATTCTTGATTTTCAACTCGCTTAGGCGAAGGAGTACATGTAGATTAACTAATCCTTGGAGATAAACAAAATAGTAGCAACGCTAAGAGCTATTAAACAACAATCCACCACTTAATAATGAGAAATTTCACCTTGGGGATTATTCACTCGACTACACTAGGCTTGGCGAGAGAAGATCTTGCAACTAGAATTGAGATCACCACTAGGAAGAAATTACGGGTCGGGTTCGGATCGGGTTTTCGGGTCGGGTCCAATATTGATAGGTCAAGTATTCATGGTAGCATTTTGTATGTGTATAGACTCAACTTTCAGCTTTTATATTGCTGAAGGATTTATTGCCAGTTTTGGTCGTCAAGAGAGTTCCTGATCAACTAAACAAACGAAAACCTCCGAAACAAATGGAAAAGTTGGACTTTAGACCATAATTAATAGAGAAAGATATGAGAGCTCTTTTCTGAAACACTCAAGTTTGTAGAGCTTTGGAATTCATAGATAAGACTCTGTATATCTACTCAATGTTGTATTTATTTAAATATGAACAGAAAAGGACACCATCCTTCTGTAAGCAATCATTATGAAAGTTCATCAAATATCAAAAATCATAAGATGCTTTGCTGTGAATGAATGGGATACTTAACAGAAAAGAAAATAAATATCACCTGTAAGTCACATATATGAGTAAAGCAATAAATGCTGACGACTTCAGACGATCTTCCCATTCAGCCAAAATAACAAGAAGCTTGCCCACTTCAATCATGGGATGGAGGAGTTCCTTCAATACAAGAATGTTTATTCAGCATTACTGTATTGAGCTTATGTCGATTATCGGCAACTGGTAAAAAATTTAAACCTTTGTCAATTGCTCTTAAGGGCTCGCTTTCAAAAGTTAAAATAGAGAATTGTTTTGTGCTACGGAAACCTAAAACCCTCTATTATGCGTTAAAAAAAAAAAATCATTAAAAGCAGTGAATGTTTCAGTCAACCTAACATAAAATCTCTCCTAAATTTAAGATTAATTAGTTTGGAAATGCTAGCATGTATTGTACAAAATAAAGTTGCTACTAAGGTGCACAAGATACTTCATAAGTGTGCACAGATTTCCTTCATGAATTTCAACACAAATCAAATTTACGGTTTGGCTGCTTCAAGAAAAGTGATGCATATGTAACAAATTACTGAACAAAATGATATTTTCCCCACACAAATTTCTTCATGGATTCTATTTCTAAGTATCACTACATTGCTGAAATTTTAAAAGACACGACATGACTTTTTCAATATTTCAATGGTTAACTTATTTCTTAGCATCTTCATGTCACAAATGATGTGAATCAATGAAGGAATTGCGTGCGGAAATTAAAAAGAAGCTTAATTAAAGCATTGCCAACACAAATTTATCACTAATAAAAATAAAGGATTAAATGTATTCTAGGTAATCAACTTGCTTAGGCGAAGAGTTGCTTTGAGATAACCAAACAATTCATGACATTCAAAGATAAAAGAACTACTTAAATGCTCATAATAAAAATCCCACGATTAATAATGAGAAAGTTCACCTCGAGCACCTTCTCACTCATTCACTCTTTGGCTTCTAGCGGAGGAGAAAGAACCACACGAAGATGGAGAGCACCACTACGGAAAAGGAGATGAAGGACTTTGTTACCGGAGAGGTAGCCGCCGGTGGAGGTGGTGGTGGTGGATGGCGCCCGGTGATTGTCCAAACGTAGTCTTGAAACTGGCGGTCGATGACGTGCACAAGTGATGGGAGAATCCGCTCCAAGTATTCACCAACTATGTCTTCGTGCTCAAATCCCGTGTCGAAAAACGGCGATCGGAGGATGTTGAGGCTTCCGTCGGAGTTGAACACAATCCCCCACTCAAATTCAGGATCCGCCATTCAACATTGAGGGGACGGGAAGAAGAAAAGGGAGAAGAGTTGGGCCGTGAGCTAGGGAAAGGCAAGGAGAAAATCTGAATTTCAAATTTTCTTGGTTGGGAGGGAGAAGTTTAGAACTACAAGTAAAACCAAGAGCTCGTCGGGGCGGGCTGTTGGGTATTTCGGGTGGAGCCTCTCCTAGGTCTCCTCTCTTTCTCTCAAGCTCTCAAGCAAGAAGACAAAAGAAAATCTCAGAAATTTTTATTAATTAAACATTAAGCTCATACAATAGAAGGAGACCCCTTTATAAAGGCCTCATTGACAGAAAATAACATGACTCAAATGCCCACCGGGCTACAACAAAGACTAAACCTTCATAAGGGCATAATAGTAAACTACGGCTTGAAATAAAAGATACATAGAAAAATAACATAAAATGACATGGCAACATCAGAAATATAAGCTCCCAATCGTAGCCGTCGATCTACGATTCCTTCGCCGGTAGACCTGCCTAAAATGTCTGTCGATGACCTCATCAACAAAATTCTAAGAATCCAACGTCAAGCTGAAAATCTAATTGTACTAATGTATTTACTCATAGATAAGTGCACAAAAACACATATCATTATTTCTTCATAGGCTCATTCATTTATAACTTCTTGTTTTTATTCATTAGAAGCTTCTGAAAGCATTTATTTTATAAAAGCATTTTACAAGTAATGCTCATTTTTTGGGGCCTCTGTTTAAATGATATTTAACATGGACATTCATTATAATATCTCAGTAAGTATCTAAGTCAAGCCTTCAAAGCAACATTAGTAAATACCTGCATGACAGCAAAGTTAGTCCCAATTCCTTCCATTTTCACCTGATCAACAGTTGCATTTGCAGCCTCAACACTTCCGGAGTGACAATATGATTCTTTTACAGCCAGCTCTAAAGAGGTTGTTTCACCAACGGTGATTAGAGGAATACTAAAATTGTTTTCTCCCTTCCTTTCTAGCTTCTCCAAAGATATAAATCCCATTATAACAAGCATATACGATGAAACTGACAAAACATGTGGACTTATATCAGATTTAAGCTCTATACAATTCTGTGTCTTAGATCTGGCTTGCAGAAGCTCCAAGTGGTTTGACAAAGCTTCAAGAATCATGTCCCCTTTAGGCAGTTTTTCTGCTAAATTAAAAGCAAGTATAGATTTAAAATCTGATAAACTGGTCCGGAAAGCTTCTCTCAGAGCACGATACCGGAAGATGCCAATTGTTGCCTTTGAAAGAGCTTCTTCTCGTTGAATCCCAGCAAGATTATATTTTCTAATAAATCTATGTGCATGCAATACTTCCTGAACTATTGACAACCAGTAATCTCTACGAGAGTGGCCTTTGAGTTCAGGAAACTCAAAATAAACAGGATCTGTTCTGTAAAGAATACAATTAGATATCTGGTCTAAGTTTTTGGTTAAGCAAGCTCACAGACCACTTGGAATGTGAAAATAATAATCGTCAATGCTACACTTACACATTTGTTGACTTAAACAAGACTGCCTTATCAAAGAGCCGAGCACCCAAAGGTCCGGTCAATTCAGGCTTTACAATCTGCTCTGAGTCCATTGCTAGGTCATAAACAACAGCTTTATCATGAGAACCTACTCCTAGGGACTCAAAATAAAGAGCATAGTTGGTCAATGTCAACCGTCCTGCATTGGCATTTAAATTACTCAGAAACTGTTATGAAACAAAAATTAATAGCATTAGTGAAGGTAATTCACTAGAAAATTATGCTTAACCAGGCCAAATAGATATTCCAATATGTTGTAGAACAGGTTGAGTAGGAATAACACCGGCCACATCTAATATAATTTCCCCATCAGCAAGATGAAGGCTTGAAGAAAGTGTTGATCCTATATGACCTTTTGATGCCTTGAGCACCCTAGACAAAGTTATAACAGTCAGAATCTGAACATGGGTTGACACTCATAAGTGCAAAAATCAAATAGATTCTCTTAAAATTGCTAGAGAAACAGGATTAAATTTTCACTTGAAAATCTTCTTGGACTTTGATGAGTATGTTTAATGGCATTTGTTACAGAATATCATTATTGACAGAAATACATTATTTCAATGTTGAGAAGTTGATGGCACATATGAAGTGCTCATGCAATTTGAATCTGTTTTGCCTAATAACTTATAAAGGATATTAGAGAGTTTACTAATGGCATTTGACTAAGTTTTGTAGAACAAGTTATTTTGAGTGCAATGCATTTGCAACGAGAAAGACCTCTTCAAAAGTTAAAGGAGATGCATTTATATTAAAAAGCTATCTTTCTTGATAAACTTTAGATGAATTTCCTGATATGAGTGATTGTTATAATGAAGGCAGAAGTCAATCTCATCATCTAAGAGATCATATCACAACAGCACACCATTATCGAGTGCATGGATGTCTTTAAGTGTTACTAATTCTCAAATATGAGGGATGATTAGTCGTTTAAAGGTTATATGGCATAGATACTCATGCGCTGCACATCTATGGATCTTAAAGATGGATATAGACGATTCAATGTTGAAAGGGCCTGTGAGCTTGAAAATAATTCTATCCCGTTGATTTACTGAGCAGATATAAGCAGGTAAATTATTCATATGTTCGTGTATTGGTGTATTTATCAGAATTGTGTTAACTTCACCAAATGAAGGATAATTTGTTTTACTATGGAAATTATCAAAAATAGGTAGTGTTACCAAATTAAGGATGAGTTTGCTACAACTGAATTGATTAGCTTTAATGGAAAGAAATTGCTTGAGAGTTAAATATAGATTCAATTATAGAAGCATTCGATGTGATGCAAACTCATAAATTACAACTTAGAAAGAATGCCAAGAAACCTTTGACAGTATTAATAAATATTTGTTAATCCCAACCATTCTTCCCACACCAATGTTGGTGAGTTCTCTTATATTGTACACAGTGGCATCAAAAGAGACCCTTAGAGCTTTTGCCAGTGCAACACAATGAGAAAGGCAAAGAAAATGTTCTCTATTATATCAGTAAGTTGGTAGGCACAAAAGTGCAGCATTCTCAAATAAAGAAGCATTGTTTGATGTTGATCTTTGTTGGTCCAAAACTTCGTCGTTACATGCTTTTTCATAGAATTACTTTAATAACAAAAATTAATTTGCAAAAGTTCTTGATGACAAGTACAATATTGATTGATCACATAGCTAGATGGGCAATGATATTCCTATAATTTGAAATTGCATATATTCCTCCAAAAACGATGAAAGGATAAATTCTCAAAATTTCTTTTGTCGTTGATTTATTCCACGTACATTCATTACTTAATGATGATTTGCTCGATGAGTGAATTCAACTCATTCATGAAAATGAGAAGTTACAAATCTTGGAACTGTATTTTGATCGAGCAACATATGTCAAACTTGCCCAACTCTCAAACTCCAAGTGCTCTAACCATCCTATTGCTCCAACGGTTGAGGATTTTGTTCTCTTCTGGAAGAGGAAAGATCGAAGCTATATGCTTGCAAATTTTCCACTCAAGTCTCAACATTCCCAAATAGAAAAAACTCTACATGCTGGGTTAGTAAATAAAAATAACAACAGTTTCAAAGTACTTAGATTAGTTAATTCATGTATCTGTTAAGATAAATCTACTGAGGAGAAAATCAACTACCATACTCCCTACCCAATTTTCAATAAATTGGCTATGTATATCCACGTGGATAACACTAAAGTAAAAAAAAATATTCTTATTTAGAATCAGGTGTAATAAGTAGAACTCAGACAAGGAGATTATTCACCCTCTCGAAAGGAAATGTTGCATCAACGCACGAACCCTCGCTCTCGCAAGCTCTTAAAGGTTCCCATTTTCCCTGAGGTAGATTGGAATTTAATTAACCAGATTTCCCCTGATAATCTTATCGATGTTTATTTAGTTCTGAGGTTCGGCTTCCTATGAGGGCAAGTCCTTATAGTTGATTATTACTTCTAACGCGTAGAAGAGCACTCTCGATTAAGGATGAAAGTACATTTAGACGTGCAATAGTTTTTAAATTTGGTTGTTGGGGATGGAGGTAAAGCAGATCAAGATCGTATGGTTCCATCACCATGGGTATACCATAGGTTTCAATCTACTAACACTAACAACCGTTGATTGTAGTGTCCGGGGAATCTGATTAGCAGCCATGAGTTGCCTCCTCTCGGAGATCTAGAGTAGACTGAAGTGGATACATATGAATTTTAGATTTGTTATGATATTGGGATTTACATATATTAGAATACCCAATAGTTGGTTTGGTTTGAGGTTTATAACTTCATTTAAAAGTTACCCATAAGTTTGAATTGAAGCGGGTCTTATGGCTTCTCCTGAAAGTAGCCTGGGTGTTTGAATTTGGTTTGGGACTTACAACTTTCAAAGTAGTCCTGAAAGTGGGTCTTATGACCTCTATTAGAGGTTGCCCAAGTATAGGTTAAAATTGGGTTTTACTGCTTCACTTGGAAGTAGCCCATAGAGGGGTTTAGCATTAGGTTGCTACCTAGAGATTTCCCCTAAAGTCAGACTTACGACTTCTATTAGAAATTGCAGGTAAACGGGTATTATAACCTAGCCTAAGCCCTATAGGCTAAGCTGCCCATTGGTTTAGGAAACATGCTAACTGTCGTAGGAAAGTTTTCCTTAACATTCTAGTTCAAATGGGACTTACGACATGCATTAGAGGTGGCCCATAGAGGGGTTTAGGGTTAGACTACTACCTCGAGATTTCCCCAAAAAATTGTCAAACTTACAACTTCTATCAGAAGTTGTCAAAAAGCGGGTCTTACAACCTAGCCCTATAGGCTAAGCTGTCCATCATTCGATGTGAATGAATTAGGGTTATTTTCCTAATGTATGGGACTTATTGCATCACTTAGATGTGGCTAGAGGAGCAGGTCTTATGGCCTCTATTAGAGGTTGCCTAAAGATTTTGGGTAGAAGTGGGTCTTATGACTTCTATTAGAAGTAGCCCGTATAGTCAGTGTATTTTATTTTGGAAAAGTTTTTCTCAATACCCTAATTGAGATGGGACTTACGACTTTTATTAAAAATGGCTCGGGCAGCGGGTTAGGGTTATGTTAGTTGTACCTAAAGATTTCCCTTAAAATCAATTTTATGGCTTATATTAGAAGTTGCCAGTAGAATTTCAAGTATTTATCGCTTCACTTAACGGATATACTTAATGAAATAGTTTACCCGTAAAATTTACTGCTTTTATTAGAAGTGATCTATAGGGCTTAGATTAATGAGGACATAGCTTTACACACTTTACTGTTTTGATACCGACATCAACATCTTGTTTTGCCAGCTTTGCTTCAATACTAGCATGCAGTCATTGTTGTTTTGACACTTACTAGCCAGTAATTGTTCTCTACTCTAGTTTTCAGTAGTGTATTTGTTATTTTGTACTTGTAGCTTTTCTGTTTTAGTAGTAGCTTTACTCTTTTTAGCATTAATTTTATTTATTAAATGCTAACTTTTGTTTACTTGTTTGCAGTTGTTCGTGACTAACAGTTTACAGGGGCTGGAACTTGCAGCTGCATAGGTTATAGTTTGTAGAGGTTTAGAGAGCTCACAAGTAGCTTGCATCTATATGTTATTGAGAGCCGGAGGGTGCTGAGAGTTTAAGAACTTTCTTAGAGAGTTGTTTGCTTTGTTCAGAGAGTTGTTGTTGGAGAATTGTTTGTAGTTTGTAGTTTGTACTTAGGTTGGATAGTAGAAAGCATTCATTTATGTTGTTTTATTTGATTTTTTAATTAATTAATTAAGTTAGTTAATTAAACTTGAGTTTTAATTAAAGAATTAATTGCTCATTTAATTAGTTAAAGTTTAATTTCAATTTAAAATATACTGTTCGACTCGTTAAAGTTTTACATTTTAAATTCATTTTAAAATTACATAATTATGTTGTTTAAATTATTAATTAGGTTGGTTGCTTGATTAATTTAATTAATCTTAAAGGTTTAAACCCAATTTGAGAGGAGCCGAAATCGAGAGCTATCGAGAGCGACCGGGAATTCCTATGGTAAGTGAGCGTAAGCCCCTCTTTTGTTTCTTTGTTCCTTTTACACGACTAAGGTGGCAGTTGCTTAGTGACATGGGGGCTATTGTGGTCGGTGTATGGGGCCGATCAGCTGTTTGCAGGTCAACAAAGATCAAATGGCATCAATAAAATATTAATAATGAACAACATGCTTGCTTAGTTAATGAAACTCCTACATAAATAGAAAAATAAAAGTCAGGTGATTTATCCAATAACTTGTCAAAAGAACAAAAAAAAACCTCTGCTGAAGAAAGTCATAGAAATAGTAATTTGAAATAAATTTCAAAAGGTCAGCATACTTATTTATGCTTTTAAGGTACTTTTCATATATGATAAAATGAAGTCGCCCATCGGACGAGCTTGTTAATGCATCAAAGAGGTTGTGGACAGTGATCAAATCAGCTATGGAAGGACATGCAGGGGCTACTCGAGCAAAAGCTTCCAGCCCAACAGATTTTTTTTCATCCACCTGATGAGAAAATTACAGAAATAAAAAAGTAAAAGTCATCCAAACCCAAACTAAAGAAACTAAAAAAATAAATAAATAAATAAAAGAAATAAGACTAACCTGAACAGCCACATTTGTAGAGTTTATATAGAAAAGTGATTCTCCATCCTCATCATCATCTCTAGGATGACTGGTAGAAAAAGATTCCTATAGTGATAAAAAATGTATTCAGTAAATACAATACTTCATGATATCCAAACGTGTAAGCTTATGCATCATAGAATAAGATAGCAAGTAGAAAAATGTATAAATTTCAGATGTACTGTATCATCTAAGGAAGCAAAATACTTGCAAAGCCTAAAAGTTCAGAACAAAAATATTAAGTCTCACTTTTAGCAAAGATTCAGTCCCTGTACCAGGAGCTTCCCAGGCAAGCATCATATCAAATGTCAAGCGATAAAAATCCTTATCAGCCATGTGATCAAGGCATTTAATCATCACATTGAGCGCCTTATAAGAACAATACTCTAAAAGATTTCTAGCATACAGAGATGGCGGAAAAGCATGGTCAGGCAGCTCGGTCTCAAAACACTGCTGCAACTTTTCTGTCAAAATATGAAGGACCGTGAAAGTGATTTTTTTCTAGATTGTTAGCAATCAAAACGAGTTTAATCAAGTGACAACAAAGCACATGGATAAAATTGAATCCAAAAAACAATCTTCACATAATGATGGCTATGGTGTTCCAATTAGAGGAATAAGTACATTAGTTTATATTTTCGCCAGGGGGGTGCAGCAGCGTTCGGCCAAAAGCAAATTCGAACGTGTCACGTCACCCAGGGCCCTGTGCATTCGGGTGATGTGGCGCGTCCGTATTCGCCTCCGAACCATCCGGACACCACACGTAATAATTTAGGGAGGGGGGACCCACAACACATACCTATGGCAAGTTTCGAACCCCAGACCTATTGGTTGATCAAGATGAGATGCATAACACATGCATTCTAACTTTAAGCAACCAGAAGAGAAATAAACCCACTTGAATAAGTCCTCTTACATCCAGCTCCTTTCTTTAGATTGCCCTCCTCTTTGCAAGCGCTATAAGAACCACAACCAAATAACAGGAAAAAATAGCTGTAGGAAAACCGCTAGTTTTACTAAAAAAACCACCCCGTACACTACATTAATCGTTGCATCGCCTTCATATGCAAGCCATCGAAAATCCCAAGGAAATAAGCACGCCAATAAAAATCAGATATCCACATCTTCATAAGAACCTATATAGAAACGTCTAATCCGCCGAAAAAATCAACCGGAAATTCCGCCGGAATTATACGAATTGTTTCGCCCTTAACATTTGCATGCTTGATAGTACGTTGGAAACATAAAAATGCAATCTTACAGTAACCAGCGATCAAATAAATTGAAAAAACCAGGCCCAGAACCAAATTAAAAAGAAGAGGAAGGAGAAGCGCAGAGGGAGTTACTTCGAACAACGAAAGACAACGGAGTTGGCGATGGGGGACAGCTGCGGTATAGGATTTGTGACTTCTGCATCGGTATTATCTTTCCTCCCGCCAAATAGGGCTTTTAAAGACTTCTGCCGTAGTAAGTTCTCCAATATCCCCATCCGTCGACTGCTTTCCATTCCCGGAGCCGGCAAGCAGATCGCACCGGTGATTTCTCTTTAGTAATATCGTAAAGAACCGGAGCCGGTTACCCTAGGATAAATTGTTGTGTGCGGAGCCCGAGTCCAATCTGAATTGGTCACTTCTTTTTTTTTTTTTTTTTGTTATTTGCTCGATGTTATCGGGTATTTTGGGTACTAGATGATATAGCGCATTCTAAGTAACTCCGGACCATCCGGTATTCTTACAGGATAATTTCTTCTAACATAGACAAAGCTCAGGTGGGACCAAGAAATTGCAATGTGGGACCGTCACAATTATAGACCAGTGGGGGATTTATATATATATACTATTTAATTTCATTATATTTACGCATCAGATATCTAAAATTTTAAAATTACATGTCTACCATATATAATAAATATATGAGTGCATGGAATGAAATATTAAAGTTTATACACTGATAGGAGTGATAAGAATGAAATATATGAGTGATATATTTGATATTAAAATTTTATATAAATGATAAGAATGTAATATTAAAATTTTATATGTTAAATACGTAAGTGGTATCTATGCAAATTATGGACCAGATAGTTATTGGAAGTTAAAAAGCATATAGATCTTAAAAATTTGTCAAAAATTTGAAAGCAATATTTTTGTTTTTATTATTATTTATTTAAATTTGAAAGCAATATTGATGGTAAAACCTTTAAACTTTGAATTTGAAGATAACAAAATCAAAATCCTTTTGTTGTGAGATCTCAAAATTTTTTGGATGATTTTTGGCTCCTTATTCCTAAGCTAGATAATTTAATATAGATGAAACCTTTTGCTTAATTTTTATTAAAATTTTTTAAAATACATATATATATTTAAGATTAAGTTACTTTGAAAATTAGGGTTGAATGCAATAAAAAAAATGATATATAAACAAGCCTTTAAATCTTAATAAATTTTAATTCAACAATATTAATATGTTATTTTTTATCTGCAAATAATTCACAAAAGCTACAAGAAAATACATTTTTTTAGACGTGATTCCAGGTGAAATCAAAATAGTTAGTGTTGCGTTCTAGAATATTCGCAACGATTGAGAAATATATAGTTTAACATCTTAGCTTTGTACGAAGATCCAGCACACAAGCAGATAAAAGGGATGGTGTAGCGTTCATAAGAGACACCATAGTTTTTACCTGGAAACCCCTGAAAAGGGAAAAAAATCACAGGATCTGGCCCAGTTTGAATGAATCCACTAGTATTTGCAACCAATCACAAATAAGGCCCTTCCTTTGGAGAAGGTCTTGGCTTCATGTTACAAATGTACATCATATAAAGCACATTACATGGTAAGAGCTGCAATAATCAACATAGACATGTTTGTTTGGTCAGCAAGACCATAGTCGATAGAATAGAGGTCTCGGAAAGACCATAGTAGACGACGGATGTAAGAAAGAACGTAGTAGGCAAAGAAGGACGAAAAGATTGTAGTCGGCAGGAGAGTGGGATCAGAAAGACCGAAGTAGTAGGGTGGTATTCCGGTAGAACTCTGAGCGTCAGGTGGTGGTCTGATAGAAGTTCGGGCCTCAGGTGGTGGTCCGATAGAAGTATGGACCTCAGGTGATGGTCTGGTAGAAGTTCAGGCCTCAGGTGGTGGTCCGGCGAAACACCGGACGTCAAATGGTTGTCTAGAATAACTCTGGCATCAAGTAGTGGTCTTGCAAAACTCCAAACATCAGGTGGTGGTTCGCCAGAACTATTCGAGTCAGGTGGTGGTCCAGAAGAACTCCAAGTGTCAGGTGTTGGTCTATCAGAAGTTCAGGCCTCAGGTGGTGGTCCGGCAGAAGTCTGAGCCTCAGGTGGTTGTCCGCTAGAAGTCTGGACCTCATGTGGTGGTCCGGCAGAAGTCCGGACCTCAAGTTGTGGTCCAGCAGCTTAGGACATCAAACGGTGGTTTGACGGAGCTTAGGACATCATGTGGTGGTCCAACGGAGCTCAGGACGTCAAGCGGTGGTCCTGCAGAGCTTAGGATATCAGGTGGTGGTCCGGCGGAGCTTAGGACATCAGGTGGTGGTCCGCCGAAGATCTTTTTGACCACGGTTGGAGTCAAATGTTAGTAACTCCGATGGAATTTTCAACAAAATTTTCACCGTTAAGAAAGAGTTTACCAATGGAATTTCCAGTGGATTAATCCACCAAAAATTCTCACTTATTTTCATATTCGAAATTTTTTCACCTGTAAAACAATGAAATTATCATAGCACTCTTCTACCAGTAATTCTGATGGTACACTTTTTTTGTGAGTCAAATATTTTTTGCATATAAAAGTAAAACTACAAAATTATATTGGCACTACTCTGCCAGTAAATCCATTGGTTAACTTTTTTATGATGTTTTTTTTTTTTTTCGGCGTTTTTCTCATCCTTTCGCTAGTGATACACAATAAATATTTTCTAGCTGAACTAAGAACGTCGGAAACTTTTTCCTGCATGGCTTTTGGCAGCGGATGTATTTTCATTTAAAATCTATAAGAAATTAATTTTATCGATAGAGTTTTGCAAATTTTCACCAGGAAATTCCACCAAAAATACTTAATATTCTTAAAATGAAATTTAAATAACTTATCATGCTCTCAAAAGCTAGTGGCTAGCTGAATACATTAAGCTCAATAGGATCATAAAGGATATACATATTATTCACATGCTTGATGATACAAAATTTTAATGAAACGGAACATTTGCACACATATTAGTAATAGAGCTCTGCATTGGGTACTCATATCCTCACCCACCTACATACCCACCCATACCCAATAGGGTATGGCTACGCCCATGATCTTGTGGGTGTGTATTCAACATCAGGGGATAAATCGATTTATATTGCTAATCACTATATATCTTATATTACTGCAATCCTCACTACGTAGTGTACATCACTTAACCACACTGCGACTATGATAAATTCTGATATTTGGCATAAATGTTTGTAATAAGAGCAAATGGCACAAGCCTCAAGGCTATCAGTCTGTAGCAGACTTCGTTCAAAAAGCATGAAAAATAGGTGAGTACGACATCCCCAAAAGTCATCATGGGTGGGCGAAGCTCATCCAAGTAAAGCATGGGTGCCCAATGAGTACCCAACCAAAACCCCATGTAGGGCTTTGCTGAGTAAACCACACGAGATTCTCTCTCATTGAATTTTTGTATTTTAATTATGAATAATATTATATTATTTTTTATTGATATTTTGAGAAAAAGATAACACAAAAAATTCAGAATAATACATAATAACATACAAAATAACACACAGGAGGAAAAAAGGTAATCACCTAATAATATTTTTTTCAAAAAAACCCAAATAAATTTTATATATTATGAACAAGAAAACGTAAATTCTTCAATTTATAATAATAACATTCAAATTTTGAATAATTAACAAAATTATCAATTTTTATTTTCTATAATTGATTCGTTTTTTATTGATTATATTGTATCAGATAGAAATATATGAATTTATTCATTTTAAAATTACTAAATACTAAATTAAAAAAAAAAGTTGCATATAAAAACAAGAAAGTAAATAAATAAATAATTGAAAATTATCATATAAATTAGGATAAAATAAAAATTTATTAATTTCACTTTAAAATTAGTGTTGTATATAAAAATTTTGTGCCGCATTAATATGAAAAATTAATTCAAAGACTTTTAAATGAAGGTACAACAAACTAATTTGATTCAATCTAAGTCTATATATAAATTGTATTTAAGGTTAGGATATATATATATATATATATAAAAAAATAAAAAAAGAAATTAATTTAAAAAAATATATGAATTATTTATATAGTCATTTTGTTTATTAAGAATATCCTGATACATATTAAATAATGATGGGCTTAACAAATTCTTGAATTTGTGCGGTTCATAATATAGCCTATAGGTACTAATCTCATCATAAATTCATTGACTTTGAAGCCCATCATGATAAAATATATACCAAGATATCGCTATGATTTTGTTTGGGACAACTTTCTTACTGCTTCTTAAAGCAGCTCTTCGATACAAAAATTTTAATTTTTTTTACTAAAAATTTACATTAAAAACTAATAAGAAAGCCATCCATTCTTAACTTCTCATTGTCAACAATCAAATCTTCTAATAGACTCCAAAAGAATAATAAAGTTGCATTCTTTAATTTTTGTTTCCAAAAGCTCATTTGATTGATTGAAATTAGAATTTATATTTTAAAAAATTAAAATTTATTAAATATAATATTTTGTTCAAAAAATAAACACTAATATACTATAAAAATTACTCAAAAATAAAAATTAGAGTACAATAATAATTGGCATACTCATTATATAAATAAATACAAAAATCTAAAACTAACAAATAGAGAAATCTAAACACCATTCTCCAAACCCATAATCTACAAACCTTTATACATAATTCATAAAAATTGCAATCAAAGCAATTTAGAAAACTTCAATCTCTCTGTCAAGCATTTCATCAAACGGTAAGAAGTTACTTCCTCTACTTCCCTTACTTCATGGAGGGATTATTAGGTGCGGAGTGCAGACGGGGAGAACCGTCCACACACTAGTATAAAATCCAATCGTTCGGTACTGCTGGGTACCACTAGATACCGCTTGGTATCCTGTGTCTGTGCGGACGGTGCTCTCCCCGTCTGCACTCCGCACCTAATAATTTTTCTACTTTTCATGACCAAATCCCTCTTATTTGAAACCGATCTCTTTAAAGAATAGAAGATGAAAGATTGATCTAAACTCATCCTCCACGCGACGATGTCTGTTCCAAATCTACTTCCCCAAGCTCCATCGAATCATCTTCAACATCTCCTTAATCCTCTACAACCACAACCATCTCCTGCTCCTGCTCCTGCTCGGCAGAAAAAGAAGAAGCTTTGCTGCTCTCCTGCAACACATTAGTTCGGCAAAGAGGGCAGCTTGAATTCGACTTGAGCCAAGTGTCGATGCACTGTAAATGGAAGGCATGGCTACACTTTGGCAAAAGACGGAGGCTTTCTTCTTCTGTGAACTCGCCGAGGCAAACGGAGCAGTCTGTGAGCTCGATGACACCCTCCGCTTTTCTATACCTGAAAACTGCGATTTTGTTGATGAGAATCTCGTCGATCCCATTGGAGCGTGAAGCTCCGTCATGTTGGATAGATGGATGGGAGTGGAAGGAGAGGGAGTTGCAGTACTTGGAGATGAAGGTGTAATAGCTGAGGAGAATGATGAAGCTCAGAACGGTGCCGATAATGGCGATTTTGAGAGGGGTGAAGGAGAAGGAGGAGGAGGAGGAGGGGGAGGGATGGGGGGAGAAGAGAAAGTAACACCATTGGGGGCAGTGGATGCTGCAGAAGCCATCGGAGCAGTCGTTGTCGGTCGTTGCCATGGATGGAAGGAGGAGGCAGTTAGGCGGGTGAAGAGGTGTCTGCCATGAAAGGGGTTCTCACGTATTTGGAGATTTGGGAGAAAGAAGGGAGAGGAGAGGATTGGAATGGGTGATGAAAATAAAGTTTGTAGGTCTGCGAAGAATAATCTATGAGAGTTTGAGGCCAAAGCATGGTCGGAGAAAGAAGAGATAGGTTACCTCACTGTCGTATCCCCTTGCTTTGTCAACGGCAACTTTTCATTTGGGTCGGCTTCGTTTGGGAGGGCTTTCTTGTTGCTTTTTAAATAGCTTTTTAATATATAATTTTTATTTTTTCATTAATAAGCTATTTTAAAAAGTAATAAAAAATTGTACTAAACGAAATGCACTCGAGTCGACAATTTCTATATTTCAACCATCTTTTATTGAAAATTAGTGATAATATACTTTTAGTTATTTATATTGAATATGTTCATTGTCGATAGTTATTGATTACAATATGATGGAGATCAAAAGAGAATACTAGTTTTAAAGATAAATAATATACAAATTTATAATAGAAGAGTTGAGTATCATTTAAAAATAACATTTAAACACTCGAAATGTAACGCTATTCCAATAATATTGTGATTGTATAAGGTGGTCATTGCTCACTTTATTGGTCCCTAAAGTATATGTAGCATAGTGTCGCCATCTGGATTACCCATTTACCCTATACTTGCACTCGAGTCGACCATTCAATTTCGGTCCTTCCTGCACCTAGCAACAAGAAAGTTATCCCAAATGAGAGAAATTATTCGGTGTGGACATCAATCGAAGCTCTATATCCGGATGCCAATAAAAAGATGCCACGTTGCGTCCCGACGACCCGATGACTTGATATGAAATAAATCCAAAATTTAGCACGTGCTTTCCCAATTACTGTGCGGCCCGACAACCGACCCGGGGTCTGAACGAAAATTCAAAAAATCCACCCATTTTTCTCTGTTTTATGACATTGACGTATTTTTTAAAATTGGGTTTATGATATATTCGCAGAAAATTGTTGAGAAGAAAAGGGAGAAAGACGAATTGAAATTGGAAATCTCTTTGGACGTCGAAGATGAACACATCCTGAGACCACAAGGAAAACCGAACAGCCTCTAAATTGAATTTGCGATAGTGCCCGAGATTTATTTTTTTAGTAAAAAGTGACTATTCACGTTTGGACCCCGGGTCGGGTCGTTAGGCTGTGCGATAAATGGGAAAGCGCGTACTAAATTTTAGATATTCAGCATATCGGTCGTTCGGGCGCAACGTGGCATCTTTCCATTGTCGTCCGAATGTAGAGCTATGTTTGGTGTCTGCAACGAATATATTCCCCCCCATATGAAGCATGTAATAACAAAAAAAATGAAATATGTAAAAAAATAGAATTTCTGTTTGAATTGGAGCGCAACAACGCTGATCTCTAGAGAGCAGCGACGCTAGGTTTGAGAGCACAGTGATGCCAAAAAATGTCGCTACGACGTTTGCGGTTATGTTCTGCAGTAACTCTACATTTGACATGCAGTGCTGGGTCTAAGCGCTATGATGCTAGACCATAATATATATATATATTGATTTCTATTGAGTGTAACGAAAGTTATGATTTTCTGAAACTATAAGATAATATTGATTTTACTACATTATATATATATATATATATATTGCATTTTAGATTGTATTTCAACATTTCAGATTGCATTTCATATAAATGAATTGGCATTGGCAATAAAAGAAAGTAAGACTAGCTGTCAATACTATAATTAATTCGGGCTGGCTCTTAAACATTAATACTTTGCACAGGAGGGTGGACCGACGGACATTCCTTTAAAGATGGTTTGCGGAGTTATTCCGATTGTAGCATGTAACAGATGATAGGAGCCATTGATTGAGTATTGATTTTCTAATTATTGTATATTAATTTTAAAAGAATGAACATAATGAAATATTTTGATGTATATGATTATTAATTGCTTTCATTAGATATAAATTTATATTGATGATTTATAGAACTCAGATAAATGATTAAAAAGATGAATATATAATTCTTTCAAATTTAATTATGATATGTGACAAAGCCTAAGTCTTATATGAGTAGACCTTTTTTACTTTGAGATTGATCAATTTGACTTGGCTAAGTCAAGCCTAATCATTAAACCCAATGGCCTAATTATAAGCAACTTGCTAAAGAATATAGTCAGCCTTTGAATTGGAATAATATGTAATTGAACTTTAGTGTTCCCATAGAGTGCCATATTAACAAACCAAGACAAAGAAAAATTAATTAATTCATTTTAGGTAGACCTGTCAATATTGGACCCGACCCGAAAACCCGATACGAACCCGACCCGGAATTTTCGGGTTTGGGTTGACCCGAACCCGAAGCGGGTCGGGTTCGGGTCCGAAAAACCGACCTGTTTGCAAAAACGGGTCGGATTCGGGTTGACCCGACGGGTTGCCGGGTCAACCCGAAAACCCGTTTATTTTTAAAAAAATTGAATTTTCATACCCCGCTCGCTGCCCCCCGCCCGCTGCCCCACGCTGCCGCGCTGGTCGGGTTCGACCCGTAACCCGAAATTGACCGGTCTAATTTTAGGTATATTCTAAGCATCAAAAGATGAGCAAAATTATGATCCCTATATCACTATCTTCTATATTTGGAAGCTTGGATGAAATCAGTCTTTTGTGAATTTTAAAAAATATGTAAGCTTTTATAACATTTGAATCATTCTCTATTTGCTGGTGAGATTGATGAAAGAATATGACATTAAAAATATTTTGTGTTTGCCCTTTCTTCTGTTTGGAAATAATATTTTCTTGAAGGCCATCAAATAACTTGTTTTAATGTTGGTGGGCTCCACATGAATAAAAATTTGCATATTTAATTCAAGCAAATTTGAAGGGCTCTAAATTTTAGATCACAAATTTCTAATGTAATCACAACCATCCAATTGATAATTTGATGGATCTTATTAGGACAAACAATAACAACAACATCAAGCCTTTATCCCACTAGGTGAGATAAATTGTGTACGTCCCGTGTGTACGCCCTGTTAAGGAACAATTATTACGTCCTCCGACCGGACGTAGAGGAACGTCCGGTCGGAGGTCAAATCGCGCCAAAAAACGATAAATACCAAGCAATACCAAATAATAACGAGGAATACCATCACGTGAAGACCCAATACCGAGTTATACCGAGCTATATCGAGCAATACCGAGTTATACAAAAGTTGTACCGAGTTTTTCCTAGAAAAAACTCGTTACAACTTTTGTATAACTCGGTATTGCTCGGTATAGCTCAGTATAACTCGGTATTGATCTTCACAGAGCGGTATTCCTCATTATTATCAAATAATACCTAGCAATACCGAGCAAATACTGAGTTTTTTGGTTGGATTTTGCCTCCGACCAGACGTTCCTCTACGACTACGTCCTTGCACCGAAAATTCTTACTTAAATCTAGTAAAGAAAGAGCATTTCTAATATTTTCTGACCAAGTCTTTTAAATCCTACCTATATCTTTCTTATTAGGACAATCTTATAAATATTTGAAATCAATTATGTCATTGCTTGAAGTATTATTAAAGAGAATATATAATTTTTAATATTATATTTGAAGGTCATAATGTCAAATGCTAAATATTAAAGAGATGGAGAATAATAATTATCCACCTAAAAGAAAGATAATATATATAAAGAGAGAGAGAAAGAGAGAGAGATGTGGAAGATATTACAGAGGAGATGACAATGATAAACTCCTGTAAGTATTGATTGCTACTTCATTGCCCATTCTATCAACAACTAAACAAATGGCAAGGCACAACAACCTTCTGTACCAATGAAATAAAATCACACATAATTATTTAAGAATATATTACATAGATGAGAGAGAGAGAGAGAGAGAGAGAGAGAGAGCTGAATAGAGAGAGAGAGAGAGAGAGAGAGAGAGAGAGAGAGAGAGAGAGATGTGGAAGACATTACATTACAGAGGAGATAACAATGACAAACTTCTGTGAGTACTGATTGCTACTTCATTGCACATTCTATCAACAGTGAAACAAATGGCAAGGCACAGCAACCTTCTGTACCCATTATTTCTTAAGAAAATATCCTCCAAGTAATAAAATTCGAGTGACAATAACAAAACCATTTTACCACATATGACGGTAGAAAGAAAGGGCCCAGGAAATGAACAAACTGTTGCCTATTTCATTCTCAGATAAGACAAACGCAATATTATCAAAGTTGACAAAACCTCTCAATTTTAAGAGAATAGCAAATCCGCAACAACTTTTGCTACTCAATCAACACAAGAAATACCCTCTCTATAAAAGGATTCATTTGAAATGGTTTTCTTCCTGTTTCTTAAAGCAGCTTTTAAGTACAAAAAATAAAACTTTTGTACTAAAAAGCTGCTTTAAAAAGCAATAAGAAAGCTATGCCAAATAATATCTAAATCTTGTAGTCTCATAAACTTTGTATTCATCAATAAAATAAAAAAGTTCAAGATTAGAATAATTAGAGCTCTCACTAAGCTTAATCAGCAGTAAAGCATTCGCTTCAATCAAAATTTTATGAATAGGCAATTTGCTACAAAGGATTAAGACATGATTGAGAGCAAATAATTCGGCACAAATCAATTTTCTACTATGCTTCAGTAAACTTGCCTAGAACAAGCGATCGAGAATAATCATGAAAAATAATTTCTCTTTAAGAGAGAAAAATAATCATAATACAGCGCATTAGACAACCTTGAAATGTAATGGATTATGTGAAGATATTTAGGGTAGGCAAAAACAAATAGGCTAATTTCAAATTCCAAACCAAACTGACTAAACTGATTAATTTGGTTTTGGTTTGGCTTAGACTTACATTTACAGTTTTATAAAACCAAAATAAATCAAACCAATTAGATTAAGCATAATATACATAATTTAGAATGCTAAAAGTTGAACATCTTGTAGCAGAAATAAGCAAACAGATTAAAATTAAAACAAAACTGCTAAAACAAACTTGTTACAAATATTAAGAAACCTAATACATACTTTAATTATCTATTAATTTAGAACAAATCTATCAAACTACACAAGGCCAAATAATTGAAAAATATGAAAAGCCAAAATGAACCAAACCAAATTGAATTGAGATGGTGATTATGATTTTTCAATAAATTTTATGCTGGCTATTAACTATCTAACATAATCCTCCACTTTTTTCATCCAAAGTTTGGGACCTGACAAATGACAATGACAATGTTTAAGGTTTTGGTTGGGACGGTTTTTTTGTTGCTTCTTAAAGCAACTTTTTAGTATATACTAGAAAGTTGTTTTAAGAAGTAGTAAGAAAGCCGTCCCAAATAAAGCCTAAATTGAGACCAACAAATAAGTTACTAAGGATTTATGTTACTAAACTGACAAGGGAAAAAATAACCGGTTTATTTTGATTTGGTTTTTCATAAACGAAGTTGGGACTTAGATGACCTCTCATCGAATACTTCATGCTCAGATATATTGCAGGTCATATAATAAAGACTATACTAGCTGATAATGTCTTGGTTTGAAAACTTTGAAAATGTTAGAAGATTCATCTATGTGCCCTTATTTTTTAACAGCAGTAGATTGTTTTATTTTTTTTTTTGAAAGTAGAAGCAGTAGATCTTTTAATACTCTTTAAATGCCACTAATCCTTTTAACCGTGCCTGCAGAATTTCTTTTTCTATTAATCTTCTTCGAGAGTATACAATGGTAGCAATACATTCATCTCAAATATCTTTGTATTAACCAAGTGTATTTTGAATCGCTATGCTCAATTATTGTTGAAATTTGTAAAAAGAATGTCCCATGCACTATTCACATTGATAATATATTCAACACCAAAACTCAAATAATTTATAGAAGTCAAAATTGGTCACAGACAGTATCACCTCAAAATAACTATTGCCGTAGAAGGCCTGACTGCGAAGAGCAAGTAGAATATGGAAATTACAATGCAATTTAGGCTTCGTTTGGGACGACTTTTTTGAAGCAGTTTTTTAGTATAAAAATTAAAAAATTTATACTAGAAAGATGCTTTAATAAGCAGTAAAAAAGCTGTCCAAAACGAACCCTTCATCTCCACAAAACTAACCTTTTGCCAGGAAATGCTCTAGTGTTGCCAAAATCAAGGTTTTATGATCCTTCTAGATGCCCTTGAGTTGAATCTTCTTGTTTGACTTCAGATTCATTGCCCTTCTTTTGACCTATTTTCAATCTAAGAGGTCTTCCCATTAACTCCTGTTATAGGAACATTGAATGAAAATCAGTCGCATAAAATGAACGGGGGCAGTATGATTCATAGCTTTCTTTGATATTGTGATAGACTACTTTGAATTTATCCTGTGTCTTATATTTAAGTGATCTAAATAACATCGATAGGCTACATTGAGGTAACCTAAATAGTAGCCACATTGATTTTCTCACCCAGCATTAGGCAATGAACCATTAATCATTTAAAATAGGACTGCCATCTTTAAATAAGATGACACTAAATAAAATAAAATAAAAAACACTTCATAAGAAACGATCAAATATTGGAAGCATTTCTAGAGAAAATTTTCTATAGATAAAACAAAGACATTCAATGAAGAATGGAAATCAATCAATCTACATTACAGGCCTGTTTGGTTGCAAGTATCTAAGGGTCAACATTTTAAATTCAATTTATTTGAATTCATAAGATTATTTTTTGTGTTTGGTTGGACTAACAAAAATAAAAAACTAAAAAAAAGAACCTAAGAACTAGTAAAGAAGATCACGATAGAAGGAGATAGAGCATGATAGGAGCTTGCTAGGGAAGGCGTTGACGGGATCTAAGACGTGTGAGGAGAAGAGATCGCCAAGGGAGCTCATTGGCGCAGGCATTAACAAGACTTGCGGAGTGCGAAGTAGAAGATATCATGATGAGAGTTCGTTGGTGCAGATGTTGATAAGAACCATGGCATGCGAAAGAGAAAATATCACAGTGGGAGCTTACTGGGGAGGGATATCCGAGTGCAATGCATTCCAAAATTGCATGAATGAGGCAATTTTGAAATATACCAAATCTAAATCAAGCTTCAATTTCCTCTTAGAATTGTGTTGCATGTACTTCTCATCAGCCAAACAAACACTCAATTTATCAAAACCCCTGTATTTAAAATGTAGTAACTTCCAACCAAAAAGCTTTTAACAAACTTTGAAAAGAGAGAAGATAATGACCCGTTATTAACAATCATATTTCTAATTATGATTATCATGCTGGATTAATCAGACTTTAACAATTTAGCACATATGGAACAACTTCAATATACTGTAAGAAACTATTGCATTAAAGTTTTCCAAAAAGAATTACGAGTGTACCAGACTGGATGTGAATGTAGAATAGCTTAATTAAAACAACCGAGCAGAAAATTAAAAAAATATAACAAAGATTAAAGCTTCACATTACCACCCCATCCAATTCAGAAACAGCACTCTCCACCTCTTCCTTCGTGTCAAAAGAAACAAATCCATACCCAGCCGACCTCCCTGATGGGTTATCAAAAACAACTCTAGCAGAAACTGGCTTAAATTTGGCAGAAAAGAATTCTCTAAGATTGCCAGCTCTTGCTTTCCAATGAAGATTTCCTACATAGATCTTGTGCCTTGTTTCTCCCACAGCAGTACTTGGTCGAGGTTTTTTAGGTGAGGGTTTGTTGAAACTCTTTGCTAGTTGAACTTTAATAATCCTTCCTGCCAACTCCTGCAATGTATTTAACTACCTTCAGAAATCTAAAGAATTTTTTTGATAAATGCAGGTATACACTACTTAACAACAGAACCATTAAAAAATGGAAATTTAATCAGAAAATAATAGACATTAAGGTCAAAAGTGATGCATGATTCACGCATTCAATAAGCTTTTAAAAAAATAACAGCATGATTTAATCAATGTAAATTATTCAAACAAACAACATAGTTGATATGTTGATTTTAGGTTCTACATGTAACCAAAGTGAATAAAATAAAAAAAAATCAAACACAAGTGTTTTTGTTTTTGGGTGAACATCATGGCTGGCCACTCATTTTGTAAACTACTATTTCAATGTTACCTATTGTATGTTATATGTTTACTTTATCCTTTTGTAATGAAAAAACTGAATAAGACCCCTTCTCATTAATAATAGTCAAAAATTTCAACAAGAGTACATGAAAGAGGGATCAATTTTGGTGTTCCTATGACGTACAACAATACCTAACATCTTTCAAGATGAAATATTCAAAAAGTTTGAATATCAGCATATTCATTGTAAGTTTGAATTTTCAACTTATTTCAAATATACTTGTAAGATCATTTACATACTCATGATGAGTTAAATTTTTTACAACTAAGTCACAAATAACTGCACTTGTTTCCATATGAGGTTGTCCAAAATACAGGTCATGTTCTTTTGGTGGGTGGCTCCAACTTTTTCCAAGCCAAAAGGATCATCTTGTAACGGTAGATACTGATGGAAGACACAGATGGGAGTATGACAGGATGTGGGTTTCTAGGCTTCCAAAACTATTTTCATTTGGTTGTAGCCTAATGACCCATTCATGAATGACAACATACCATGCTTTATATTGTCAACCATGAGTTTTGTATAGGACAGAAAGAGTCACCTTTTGGGAAAGATTTATTCAAGTCTTGAAAATCAATGCAAATGAATTTAATCATTCTTTCCCTTTCAGAAACATATGAGTCAGTTTAGGTTGCATGATTCAAGAAAAAAGAGTTTAAAGAGCTACATTTAAAGAAGAGCCATAGAGGAGATCCAAAATATGTTGCAATTATTGAGTAAATAGAGACAAAGCCAACACATCACTTCAATTATTTTGCGAAGATAAGCTCAAAATATTAAATAAAATATTTTTAATTTTTGGACCTCCTCTATGCCTGCACTACAAATTGAGCTATCCAAGCTCGCAAAGTCTAGGGAAGAAAAACCATGCAACCAACAAGCTCAAAAAGCTGCTAAATTATTGAGTCAATTAGGAGAATTTTTAGAACATTACTTCAATAACATTTTTAAAATAAACTCAAATTTTAAAATGAATGGTTTTATAATAAATACAAATTATCATTTTTTTACTTGGATAAGAACACATTGTGGATTCGCTCGAAAAATAAATAAAAATTTTATATAAACTTTCACATCAATAAACTATTATAAATAGAATAAAAAGAGTATATTGGGAGTACTTTTTCCCATATAAAATCAACTTTCTCATTAACAACCCAAATTTTAAGATCATGAATCTTGCTGTTAAAAATGTTTTTTATTAATGTTCTTTAAATACTCTTATCTAATCTTAGAATAATATTTTATTTTATTTTTCATTTTTCACCCCTTCATCTTAAAGTCTAAAACTAATAAATGATGTTTAGTACATAAACTTTCATTCAGAATGACTTTACAATTTTTGTAATCTAAATGAACTATTTTTCTTAAAAGAAAATAATCAATATGTTTTACTATACTCATTTTTATAAGTGTTGAGATGCTCCTCTCTATTTTCTTAAATAAAATATTAGCAATTATAAAATTATAAAATAGAGTAAAATCTAATATGATTCTACCAACTTTACTAGTTGCTCCAAATCTATAGTCACTATGAATGTTTTTAAATTCTTCTACTAATATATTCATTTAAATCTCCTCCAATAAAAATTATTTTTTCAAAAAGTATTCTTTATATTAATTTTTCTAAGATATTTCAAAATTTTATTTTTGAGCATGTATATCTAAACTTATTTGATGAGCAAATAAGCAGTTATAATATTAAAATTTTTAGCATTAATAAGAATCTTTAAAATTATAATTTTATCTTCAATTCTATTAATTTCTATAATATTATCCTTGAAACTTTTATAAATAATCACACATATATCATTTTTATTATGACTCCTACATGAATACCAAAGCTTAAATCCTAAACTCAATCTCCTTAACCTTTTCCCAGCCCATTTAGCTTTCTGAATATATAAAATATTTATCTTCCTATGAATCATAATATTTATTAATTCAATTAAGTTGTCTGCAAGAATACTTATATTCTAAGTTTATATCATAATTCTAGTTTTATGGAATAACTTTTTTATCCACATCCGTCCATGATGTGAGAACCTTTGCTTATTTGATACAATACCTGAGCACTAGTGCAGTGGACTTTGCATATTTATCGATGTAGCTTGGCCATACAATGCGTTGCTTCCAACGAATGCACTCGCATTAAGACAATGTATTAAAAGATTCGTGTCATAGTTGTTTAACAAATTTTTGTTAGTTGCTGACTACCTAATGCAACCCTTCATTTTTCTCAACCAGAACTTGGAACCCATCAACAATAATGTTTTGATGCCTATTTTTTTTATGGTGACATTAGATAGAATTAGAGTTGGGAATATGTTTTGGTGCCTTATATATATAGTAAAAAACTCATCTCTTCTTTCTAATAGATGTAAGAAATTATTTTGGTCGCTCGCACCACATAAATCTTGGTGCCTTTATGTCACGCTTAATCATTTTGTTATTACTTTGTGTGTTCATCATATTCATTCATGGTAATTGATTCTGCATAAAAAGGTAATTTTTTCCTAACAATCATATCCCTTATTCTTCATATAGTTGATTATTTGGCAAGAGTCAACATCCTTCAAACATTGGGAATGGTGGAACTAATGGCCTAAGGCCCACCGTGGCTCACCTTTGAAGCCATTGTCTGCATGATTACACCATGACTAGGGCATTCACTGGTGGAAGGAAGAGGGGCAGAAATAAGGTCAATTTGAACTTGGTTCGTTTGGCATGGTCCAACAATAAATGAATAATACTACATGGAAATGTTAGAATGGGCTATATTCATAAGCAATCCAAATATTTAGATAGTCTTAGATGGTTTGGTCACATAAAAAATCAGCCTTCCAATGATTATGTTAGAAGAGTAGATGTACTAGATCTGGCCTATATTAAAAAAGATAGGTAGACAAAAAAAGACTTAGTTAAAAAGTATTAAAAATGACATTTTTTATGAAATTTAAATGAGAAATTGACTCTTAATAGGATGCAATAGAGAAAAAGGATTAAATGTAGCCAACCCCGCTTAGTGAGATAAAGGCTTGTTGTTGTTGTTGTCATTATTGCATGCCAACTATGCATTAAACTGAAGATGTGCCTCAAATTTAGTATGCAATTAAGGTTATCACAAAGACTTGAATAAAAGTTATGATTAAAACAACTATATTATATATAGCCCTTATTAAATCAGAAGGCAATCAAAAGAGACTAGATCAACAATAGAACCAAAATCTCTTACAAAAAAATTCAATTTCTCAATGGCAGCCTGTGCCTCCTCCGGTGAACCCATGGTGACAAAGGCAAACCCCCTGTTCCTCCCATCTTGCAGCTTAATTATCTGCATAAACCAATCACAGGTAAGAAAAACAAGTACCAACTTAAGAACATCAAAACAAAATAAGGGTTTCGTTTCGTTCACCTCCACATAATTGACAGTGCCATACTGACCAAAGAGATTCTCAAGATCCGAAGCCGAGTAGCTAAACGGCAAGTTCACCACGTAAAGCTTTCTCAGATTCGCCTCCTCCTGCAAGATTGATTCCCCAGCTTCCCCGTCTTGCATCTCCTCCATCCCTTCCTTCTCCTCTAACTCGGTATCTTGCACCGCGGAGCATGGCCGGAGGGCAAAGAAGCGGTTCTGCGTTCGGTCACCTGACGCAATAATTTGCCATGGGAGCGCAGAAGAAGAGCTCGTAAGAGAAGCAGAAGGACAGGGAAGGGATACGAATAATTTAACAGAAGATCCGGAATTCAATACGGGGAACCATTTCCCCGCTGCTGCGACCATCGCCGCGGATGCCGCCACCGTCGCCATTGTAGTCCACTGAACGGCTTCGAAATACACTTCAGAGCAAAGGAAGCGTGTCTAATCGGGACTGTTTGAAACTCCGAGAATGTCAAAGTAGTTTTGGATAAGGTCAGGTCTAGCAGAAACAGGATACTTCACAGGAAATTATAGGAAATTATGTTGATGTAGCACAGGACATCTCCATATTTGATGATTGCACGTAATATAGGAACAAATGTAGCTCTACATCTATACGTCAATAACATGCCGTCACGTGCTCTTACTCTTTATCGCGCGGCCCGACGACCCGACCCAAACCAAATCCCGGGATTGCTATGTTTGCTTATTTCTCGGTATTGCTGGGTATTACTCGGTACTGTTAGGTATTGCTTGACAATAACGAGAAATATCGCTCTGTGAAGACCAATACCGAGCAATACCGAGTAATACCTAGCAAAACTCGGTATTGGTCTTCACAGAGCAGTATTTCTCGTTATTGCCGAGCAAAATCGACTAATACCTAGCAATACCGAGTAATACCAAGCAATACACGAACATAGCAATCCCGGGTCGGTTTTCGGGCCGCGCGGTAAATAGTGAGAACACGTGTCACTATTTTACTGGCGTCTGAACGTAGAGCTACGTCAGGTGACCGGACCGAATAAAAGTTCCAGGTCTAGACAAAGCAAACTGCAGTTTCTCGGCTGATCAATTGAGGTTAATAGGGCACAAATTGTCAATTCATGCAGTAGGTTAGTGGTTGCGTTTTGTGAAAGTGATTTTTCAGGACAGCTTTCTTATTTGTTTCTAAAGCAACTTTATATATTAAGTTATTGTGATAATATTATGTTGATTTTTAAATATTACTATGCTACATAGGTTGTAGCATACTACATATGGGATTCTATATATTGTTGGTGCATATAGTACCATATAAATTATTATCATATATGATGTTTGAAATATGTTAGTTTGGTATAGCCAACACATTTTTTTATATTATTCATTATGAGTACATCTACACATACAATGAGTGATTATATATTAGCATTGTACTTATAGTTGTGCGATGCAAAAAATGCATGTATGTTTTACATGCGAACAACTTGTTGTATTATATTTTATGCTATTCATTTGATTTATAACATTACATACTATAAATATGTTGAATGTTTTTTGCGTATTACATGTTGTCCATTATTAATCATAATAACTATGTAATTACTATTATATTTACAGTTCATATTATTTGTCCTGTCTGAAAGTATCATCTAATTTATGAAAGTTGTATGAATGTCAACTATATTACATAGAGATGTGCATGAACATGTGTAAGAAAAGATTGGTTAGTCCTCATGTTAGTTGGGTCAGTATGTCCCTGCCTAGGAGTTTGAATCGATAGGATTTTTTTTTTTTTTTTTTTTTTTTTTTTTTTTTAATACTGAGGGCCAAATGATCATTTTTTTTTTTTAATATTGAGGGCCAAATGATCATCCAATGATAGATATAGTATTGGTCTAATTTTTATTTTAATGGATAAGCACAAAGTGATGACTTTAGAACATTTTTGATGTATGAGATATTCCTCTAAAATATAATTGATGCGACATCGCAAAATTATCTTAATCGGGCACGAATCTCGATGCAAAATTAAATTGAAAACTTTCGAAATTAATTTCGGGAGCATATGAACTTCGATTTCAGCGAGCTTAGAGTCAAACTGAGCGTCTCAGAAATACGAACCCAACGACACCAAGATCAACTCAATCCGAGCCCAAATGAGTCCGAATCATGGGTTCAAAGCGCTGTTGGAAGGTTCAAACCGAAATTTGAGTTACCAAACGGTCTCCGATTTTGACGAGCTTATACTCGAATCGAACGGCTCGATGCATATGCATTATTTACTATTATCTTCTAAATATTATTAATGTAATATATCTATGCTAGCATAAAGTTACTTCTAACTACTTCTAACATATAAATTACTGAATTTAATGACAAATTATATTCTAAGTTAACACATCATAAAGCTACTTTCATTCCTAACAAATGAATTAATGCGCGTATTTCTATTAAAATTTGGACTCTAGATACTTGCGATAGATCATCTATAACATTCTAATATGACTAATGGCACACGAGATTGAAATCATGAACTAATTATGGTGTCTCAATATGCTTTTGATTCTATAATTATAATCTAATCAAATGTAACAGGATCTTCTACACATTAACTTCAAATTGAACATCCACCCCTTATTCCATAACTATACATACATCCAACTAATTATGAATAATCTTTCTTACTCCACAACATCAAGTTGGCATAACTAGCAATCATGTAAGCATTATGTTATACTAAAAGTTGGCATATAATGAAGAATAGGACGTCATAGAGGTCATCAAGGATAATTGAAATGATTCTCTTTAAACAGCTGAAGAGGACAAATGAAGTTGTATAGGAAGGCCACATAGAGCAATAATCAAATATAAAGGCATCATAACATGAGAAAAATAATCAAAGTGGCATAGGAAGGCCAAGAGGACTAGTAGGATGGTTAGTTAGATCTTCCTATTTAAAGTGAAGAAAACATATAAAGTGAATTTGGAAGGTAATGAAGGCCAAGTATGGTCCTCCTCTAGTAGGTGAAAGCGGAATCATCTAAAGTTGGTGAATGAGAGGGCATAAGAAGGTTGCAGAGGTAATTAATTATGATTAGCTACTTCTTCACCTAGATGTGATGGTGGAATGCCTTAAAAGTGGTTGATCGATCAAAAGTTGCATTAAGGTTATATAGATGAATGAGGGGCTATAATTTCTACTTATAGAGTTGAATATGGCATGACCTAAAGCCTAAAGGTGATGGAAGAGTCAACATAAGAATGACAAAGAGATAGCATATTCCAATTAGGATTGACTTCCTTATGGAGGTGGGTGATATAACTTGAGGAAATGCACAAGAAAATATGGAAAGGTAAAGAAAATCATTGAGGATATTCTATAAGGCACTATGGGAAAAACGTCATTTTAATGCGGCCATTTCCGTCGGAAAATGACTAAAATTTGTGGATAATTTATACTTTTGGCAGATTTCCGATCGTAAATAATGCATCAAAAAATAAACACTGTCAATAAAATTCCATCGGAAGAGCGGGCCCGCATCCCTTGCCCTGACGTGAACCCGCTTGCACTCCGTTGGTATGTGAACGAGGCCCCCACCTGTATGCACTCCGTGGTCCCGTAAACCAGGCCCGCTCGCGCACCTCCCTACATGTGTTGCATGGGATTTAAATTCCGCCTACTTCAAACCAGTGGCTATTCAATGAGCTGTGATGCATAAAATGTCATTTTAGGTGCATTTTTTATTTAAATTATACTTTCTTAATAATTATTTTTAATACATAATGTGTTTAATACATAATATATTTTAATTAGTTAAATTAATATCATAATAATTATTAAAACTTTTCAATTATTTTATTTAACAAAATTTAATTTAATTTAACATAATGGATAATTTTAAATATTTATAATAAATTTTTTTCAAAAAAATTTAAATTCCAAGAAAAATCTAAAGGAAATTCACAGAAACGAAATATGTCGGAATTTCTAATGGATTTATTTCCGCTTGAAAATTCTGTCAAAAATTAGCGTTTTTCATATTGTGAGGCTCTCTTCTTAGAGGTGAAGATGACATAACATTTAACCTAATATATTAAGATATGTTGAAATGTTAGAATGAATATTAAAAGCTATCAAGATGGTTCTCTCTTTGAAAGTAAAAACAACAAGACCTAAAGGCGATGAATAAGTAGATGTCTAAAGGTCATACAATTGCCTGAAGATAATCGAGATACTCCTCCTTTAGAAGATGGAATGATTGACATAAATGTGATACGAGCGTATGAAGTTCATGAAGGTATGATCCACCTCCTTGGGGTGAAGATAACATGACATGAAGAAAACACAAAAAAAAATAGAAATGACACTAAGAATCACTATGATGATCCTTCTACTGTGAGTGAAGATGATAAGACCTATATGTGACATGTAAGGTGATGTAGGAGGTTATAATGGCAAGTGAAAACAATTAGAGTAGCCTGACCTCTAAAGGTGGATCCAATCTGACTTTGAGGTGTTAGATAAGGCGACACAAGAAGGCCATAAAGATGGCTAAAGGTAGATGGTTTGGTCCTTCCTTTAGATGTAGAAGAAGTTTACACTCAAGAATACATAAGCTAATAAAAAACAACACAATTTATATCATGGAAGAAGAAACATCTCCTTCTCTTAGCTAAGCTAGCTCAATTAATCTATCCTTGGTAGGTGAAGGGATGATGTGGTGATCAACCAAATAGACTAGCTTATAGATCTATACAATAAGAATTCAAAAGAATTGCAAATCAAAATTTAGGTGATCAAATTGATGGGAATAATTTTAAGAATGTTTATTGATTAAACATATGGATGTTAGAAAATAGTCATGATAGACCACCATTTTTATATCTCTTATTGAATGCAACTATTTGACAAAAAACTTTTAAAATAGATGTTTGTGAAGGCTATAAGAATTTCCATATGTTGAAATGTTGTCAAATGAAGTGCAATAAAATAGATGCACACTCATAGCTTATAAGAGGATGATGAGATGTTGGCAAAGGTGACAATATCACATTCTCATGTTAATTATGTGTATGCAGATTCATGCAAAAAGGTCCCACTAATTCAACTAAATTGGCTCACCGTAAACTCGTATGTTATATCCGTTCAACAACCTCTACCTTGGACATCTAAATTACTTGTTTTCAGAGTTGTTTAATTCATCTCATTGCGTCGATCATTGCAAAAGAAAATGTATGCAGTTTAGTGCTCATTTGATATGTAAATTAACTTCCAGAGTAAAAAAAAAAATTATGTTAATTTAGCTCCTTCTGAATGTTTTGAATTTAATGACTTCCAAAAAACTGGCTTAATCATAAAAATAATTTTAACTATCTAAATAATTATTAACATCTAAAAATGTAGTATCTCTCATTCTCTCTAGTGTATAAATCCATAAGAAATATTCTCATGTTCATATTACCAAATAAGCTTTGCTCAAAATAAAAATAAAAAATATTTACAATAAAGTCATTCATTTCTCATTCATAGTCCTTCAAAGAGAAACATCTCCAACCAATCAAAATTTTTATCATAAAAAAGCCTAAGTCAAATATAATATCGTCATCATAAACATTTAAAATGTCAATATTGCCCTTGCGCTTAGGTTAAAATTTCTAATTCATTCATTACTTTCCATTCACCTTCCTGACATCCAAATATTCAATACTTTCCTATTCAAATCACCATTACTAATTACTCTGTCATTTGCTTGAATGTGAATATAATTCTCTGTCATTGCGTCATTTTTCCTTAAATAAGACGTTAAAATTCAGACGGTATAGCACAATATGTCCAAGTTCAGAAAGCTATATATGTCCAAAATTGGAATTTCACTTTGCGTGTAATCTTCCATTTGAGCTATCTTTGTGCGGTATAGCCATTACTAATTACTCTGTGTTTAGGATTTATATAAGGGTGTAAATATTTGAGAACATCCGAAAATTCGACCTGAAAATTTTGGGTTAGTATCAACCCGTTTCGCAAATGGGTCAGGTCAACCAGATAACCAAAACCTGATGCCTCACCCCGCTTGCGTCGTCGCCTGCAGCCTCACCTCCCATTTTTTGAATCAAAACGTGTCAGCGGATCTGGTGGGGTCAACCCGGTAATCAGCACGGGTTGGGTCCAGGTTGAAATACCTAACCCGTTTGCAAAAATGGGTCGAGGTCTAGTTGGGTCAAGTAGTGTCGGGTCAGTTCCGAGTTCGACCCGAACCCGACCAATGATCCAATTTTGAGAGTCCTAGATTTATATAAGATAGACTTACATGCTATTAAATTTATTTTGAGATTAATGTAATATAAAATTTGTATATATAATACTAATCTTAAAGCAAATTTATAATTTTAAAATCATCATTGTTGCATCCTGGAATATTCGCGGCGGTAGAGAAATATATAGTTTAACGTCTTAGCATTGTACGAAGATCCAGCACACAATCAGATAAGTGAGAGGGTGTAGCATTCATAAGAGACACCAAAGTTTTTACGTGGAAAACCCCTGAAAAAGGGGGAAAAACCACGGGGCCTGGCCCGGTTTGAATGAATCCACTAGTATTTGTAGTCGATTACAAATGAGGCCCTTCCTTAGGAGAAGGCCTTGGATTGATGTAACAAATGTACATCATATAGATTGCATTACATGGTAAGAGTTACATATACAGGTTTGTTTGGCCTGAAGGACCATAGTCGGCAGGAGACCGTAGTCGGCAGGAGACCGTAGTCGGCAGGAGACCGTAGTCGGCAGGAGACCGTAGTCGGCAGGAGACCGTAGTCGGCAGGAGACCGTAGTCGGCAGGAGACCGTAGTCGGCAGGAGACCGTTAGAGAAATTTTTTAATTTTTTTACACCTTAATTTATTTTTAATATATTATAAATTAGACCAAATTCCATTTTTTTACCACAGGCACACTATGTTACCGTTGCTATTCCATTTTTATGACCTTTTTTTTATTAGAATTCGAAATTTTTCCGTGCTGAAAAATCATTCGATTTTATGACAGTAAACAATAAAAGTGTAATTATTGTTCACCAATGCGTTTTTGCTATTCACAGTCACAAAATCGGACAAGAAACCACTACGCTTTTACTATTCATAACCATAAAACCAGATGGTTCTTCTCGATCGGACTTCACACGTAATAATCTCTCCTTAATATGATACAATGAAGAACAAAAATTTATACAACCGACCCCACATATTAAAATAAAAATTTAATGTTATTGTTATTATTGTTGTAACAAATCAAATAGCCCCCACAATAACAAAGTTTCATATAAAAAAAAATCATTATATTTTCAGCGCATTTGTATTCTGTATCATAATAAAAAATTTCAATACATCCAATTAGATAATGAGCCAGATTTCTAATTTTCCATGCAAATATGTTGAAATTTTCAGACTTTACTAAGTGCAAAAATCATTTGGCAGTGAAAAACCATCACAAACATTTCTTTTTATAATCACTACTACATTCCCAACTATAAATATCATTTTGTTTCTCTCTCTCTCTAATGTCTCCTAACTTCGTATACACACTAATTAAGGCTTTATTTGGAACAACTTTCTTTCTTACTGTTTTCTAAATCAACTTTTTAGTACAAAAATTTTTTAGTTCAAGAAAATTTTGTACTGAAAAATTGCTTTAGAAAACAGTAAGAAAACTATCCCAAACAAAGCCTAAATAACAACATATCAGTGTTTGTATATAGCTGCAGCAATCCTAACTAAGCTGAGCTTCTCTTCTTCTATATGAAAGAGTCCTTTGCACACATTTATACATCATGAAGACTATATGTATGTAAATATTTCTTCTATGAGAGAGAAAGGAGGCTTCTTGATCCTTGAATGCTAGAACTCCAGTAGAAGACTACTAAAGGGAGCTCTATGTGGAATGCCCTTCCTCCTCTTCGCCGAGCGGAAACTGATGGCGGTCGGCGGCGGCGTTGAAGGTGTAAAGCTTTGAACTATTGTGCTAGAGTAGGACTCCTCTGAGTCCGAAGCCGCCAACTGCGAAAATCCACTCTTCTTCTTCTTCCTCCTCTCCTTCTCAGCATTGGAGTCATTGGAAGTTCCTACAACCTTCAAGAGTTTTCCAATAATTAGAGAACGTTTTTTTTTTTTTTTTGAATATTTAGACTAATTAAGACAAAATCACAATATATGAAAAACAGTGTAAAACAGTTGAAAAATTTACTAAAGAAAAAATTATGAAAAAAAAAATAAAATAAATTCAGTTTTTACCACTAAAACTTTAGTTTTATCATTTTATGTTCTATTTAGATTAAGGGAATTGAAATTGATAAGGAAATTAAAATTAAATTAATTTTCATTACTTTATTTCTTTGTTAAAAATGAGTGAAATTTTATTTATTTTTTGCTTTTTATTAGGTATATTTAAGCAGCAAGATTAAACTTTTTTTTTTAAAATTTTTTGGCAAGGATTGGTGAAATATTGCCAATGAAAAAGATTAATTTTGTTCATATTTTAAAATTTTAATTATATATTAATTAGATCTAAATCAAATAATCTGTATCAAAATGTGATCTGAAATGTGTTTTCTTCTCAATTCCATCAGAGTATTCACACAGCTTTACTAAACCCTAAACAAAAACAGGAAATAGAAAGCTAATTAAAAAAAAATCAAAGATTGAAAAGGATGAGAAGAGAATGAGGAGAAAGATGAAACCTTGCAGCCGAGGGAGCAGAACCGAAAGGAGTCAAGTAAGCTCCGTTCACAGACCTCGCAGTTATTCGTTACTCCCTTTCCCGGCCTTGGCTGCGGCCGCTCATTGAGGAAGACGACTCTCGCACTGTTGATTATATAAGTCTGAACACCACTTATGTCGAGCACCTTCTGAATCTCCGAAACCCTGATAACATCATGGTATGATGATCTCCTTATCTGAAATCATAAAGAAATTAAGCAGTAAGTTGTTGCTCCGCAATTGACAGATAACCGAGCAGGTGCAAATCCAAAACATGCGTTTTTTACAGTTCCAAGATTCAATTTTTATATTTTGGTTTGGGGAAGAACAGGAAACAGAAATAATCAATCCTCTGCCAAAAGCGGTTTTTTTAGGAAACAGTGCATCTGGAATGTGGAAAGATTCGATTTTTGACTGAATTTGGGAAGAAACAGAGCATCTATAAAAAGAGAATAACTGCAAATCCAATATTCCAAACGAACGGATTTTTGCAGTTTATAAATTAAGGAAGAAGATGAACCAGACCTGGATGGCGCGATGGTCGCGATGGAACGGGAGGCAGAGAGAGCACAGAGCGCCGTTCATGCAATCTAGGCAGAACATATTGCATTCGCACTTGTGTGCTTCTGCGTGCTGTTTGCAGTGAACGAAGAAGGTGGTGGAAAGAAGAGGTCGGAGCCATGGCGGCCATCTGTTGTCTTCTCCTCCTCCCTGTATGAAACAATCTCAATACCGACAAAGAAACAGAAGAACAATAGGTATCCAATTGAGAGAAACAGAGCAATTACCATGGCTTTGCTTTTCTGAATCAGCTCCATTAATGGCGAGAGAGAGAGACAGAGAGAGGAGAGACGAGGAAGGTGGCTGAAAAAGAAGGGAAGGGGTTCGTGTAGAAAAGATGGGCTTCGGTTGTTCTTATCCGTTCAAAGTCTTCGTTTCGAGTCTCTCGAATATGCGTTGGTGGTAGGAAACCTTCTCTTTTGGCTGCCCATTTTAATTTAATTATTTATTGCGATGCCCACCTCCTTTGACTGTGTGAGGAGTTAGATTTGGATCAAGATTTTAATTTTCCGTTTTGCTTTCCATTATGGCCTCATGTTAAAATTTTGCAGGATTTAAATACTTGTAATCTAAACCATTTACACTTAATATTTAGCATATATACATATACATATATTTAATTATTTATGTGTCTCAAATGGATCCAAATCAAAGACCTGAAGCGCATTTGAAAGGTTCAATTCATAATTTGGATTATCAAATATTTTTCAAATGTGACGTGCTTATAGTCGAATTGAGTGGCTCGACTAGAGGAATCCAACAAACCAAAGATCGTCAAATTCTGATATCATTAAAACATTCAAATGTCCAGTAAGCAATCCATGATCAATGGAATCAACATCGGCCGTCCATTCAAACCACTCCCAATTTACCATTGATATTTCTCATATTTTTTGATCATGCCACTCTCAGAAAATTATAAATAGACCACCACTCTTAGAAAATTATACATAGACGTATCATTTAACATAAGAGGGGATCGAAACAAGAAGAGAAAAAATAATAGAAACTTGAGTTCTCTTGCCATCAGACTCTTCCTAGACCGCAGTCGGACTTCAGCCCGGCCACCAACTGAAGCTAGACTTTCACTAGGATGCCGACCGACGCCGGACTTCTGCCCTACCGTCGACTGACGCTGGACTACCACCCGACTGCCAACTGACGTCAGACTTCCACCAGACTGTCAATTGAAACTGAATTTCCTCATGCCTACTAAATATCACTAGATTTATTATCACTTTTTGTAATTGGATTTCAACTCGACGGTTGAAATTTGTTATATGATCATCCTCAACTTCAAAAATGAGTCAGCGGAATCATTTCAACTAGACGAAAATTTCTAACTCTATCAACAAAAAGAATTTAATTTTGTTGATTTTCTCGGTTTTAGTTTTTTATTTTGAATTTGATTTTACTTAATTATATTATAAATACATGTCGCATTTTAATTATAAGCTATTATAACTAAGTTATAATAAAAAATTCCATTTAATTGAAATTTATTTTTTTCTTGAGAGTATGTAATTTAATAATTAAAATTTATTAAAAGAAATATAAAAGTTGAAACATAAAATATTTAAAAAAACTTTATAACCTACCTTCTTAATGAAACAAAATTCATTCCAACTTTTGTAGAACTTCGACCACGGAATTACAGTTAATTACATCCGTGCCATTGACTATGTTTTATTAATGCTACGTCTTTATCACCACTCACCACTTGCTCAACTTTAATCTTCGAGTGGACACGACTCCATTATTTATTTTAGCATATTTTATATAAAAAAAAATTGACAATAAATGTCTCAGATATTTTTATTTAAGGAAATATCTCCAAATTTTATTTAGGATAAAAATATTCGTTTGAGAAGCTTTTTTGTTGCTTCTTAAAATAATTTTTTAGTACAAAAAATAAAATTTTGTTTGAATATTATTTTTAAGAAGCAGTAAGAAAGATGTCACAAAAAAATCTAATTTTTTTGGTTAAAGGTTTTCAATATATTTTTTTTTGTGCTAGAAAGTTATTTTCTGCAATAATTTTTATATAGCAGCTTTACAATCAGCTTTATAAAAAGCTACAATCATCCCAAACGGCCCTATAATCCCACATATAGATCCGATTCAGTGTTTAGCCAGTCCTTTAATGTCTTTAGATTTGTCTTATCGAACAGCCTAATTTTTTTGTTTAGAGGTTGCTTTCAATATTTTTTGTGCTAGAAAGTTATTTTCTGCAATAATTTTTTATATAGCAGCTTTACAATCAGCTTTATAAAAAGCTACAATCATCCCAAACGGCCCTATAATCCCACATATAGATCCGATTCAGTGTTTAGCCAGTCCTTTAATGTCTTTAGATTTGTCTTATCGAACTGCACTATCTTAATAATAAATGTGATGAAATTGAAATGTGGATGGCCTTTTGAAATATTTTGGTAGTTTATTTTGGATTTTTTAACAAATATGTAAAAATTTGTCCTTAATAGAATTATTTTTAGCCATGTAAAATACAAAATTATATTTTAAATGCAAATATATATAAAAAAAAATTATGTCAAATTTTTAATTCAAGAAATATAAAAAGTAATTGATATAAATGATTATGTTGCAATTGAAAAAAAAAATTATTAATTTCTATTACAATTTGAAATTCTTCTAAATGATGTTTTGAATTTTATTTATATAATTTTTAAAACCCAAAAAAGAAGATTATGTAATTTTAAAAAGTGAAAATTGACTTCAAATGCAACATAGTTCACTTGATTAGAGAAATCTCCATTATTAATTATGTTAGATAAATATACTTAAAATTTAATTTAGTATGATTTCACCTTTGTTGTATTTGTGAACCACTTATTAAAGCTAATATCTAAAAAAAATTGATTCAAACTGAATATGAACCTTGTTTCGAACGTGATTTGAAGATTTGATCGACAATATTTAAACATAAGTGGGGACATATCGTAGAGAAAGAGATAATGGAACTGGTGGTGTCAAGTAGGTGTGTTAATATTTGACACGATCTGAAAATCCGACTCGAATATGATCCTAAAATTTCGAGTTAGGGTCAACCCATTTTGCAAACGGGTTGGGTTCAAGTTCTTGGACTCGAACCACTTGAAAAAACGGGTCGGATCCGGGTCAACCTGCTAACCCGGATTTAACTCGAACTGGCCTTTTTCATTGGTTCCAAGATTCAGCCCACTAACCTGGTTCGAACCGCTCCTCTATAGTTCACACTATGAGTCGGCCCTAGCTCCTCTCCCTCGTCGCTCTTGCACGAACGAGTCCCAGGCGGCCAGATGAGCTCCTCTTTACCACCGCCGCCTCTCCCTCTCCCTGCTCCTGAAGGCTTCGCTGCCAATTGAAGCCGACATCGACGCCTCTCCCTCTCCCTGCGCCCGAAGCCCTCTGTTTATTGAGCTGATCATGACTTCTTGCACATGATGCCGCCACCTCTCCCTCTCCCTGCTCCTAAAGGCTTCGCTGCCAATTGAAGCCGACATCGACGCCTCTCCCTCTCCCTGCGCCCGTAACCCTCTGTTTATTGAGCCGATCATGACTTCTTGCACATGATGCCGCCACCTCTCCCTCTCCCTGCTCCTGAAGGCTTCATTGCTGCCTGAATCTGACATCGTCGCATCTACCTTTTGAAGATTACAACGGGTTGACGGGTCATGTCGGGTTGACCCGAGTTCGAAGCGAGTTGTTCTAGTCAGTTCCGGATTAAATCCGAACCCGATCCGTGACCTAATTTTGACATCCCTAGTGCCAAGGAATGTATCACACAATGGAACTTGTTGGGAAGATATCATGGGATCACCAAAGGTTGGTGGAACTCGCTAGGGAAGGCAGCATGACGCCAATTGGTTATGAGGAGAATATAAGTTAGCACGGCTAAGCTCATTGGGTAAGGCATTACATGATAATTGGCACGAGATAGAGCTCGCTTAAGCTTATTGGGGAAAGCATCATAGGATCATAACGTGCGATAGAGCTTTCTAAGAAGGCAACAACATGATTGACTGTGTCTGAGGAGGGAGTTCATGCGAAGGAGCTATCGATATGGAGTTTGAACAAATATTCAAACTTTGGTTCAAATAAGGTATAAACTAGAGTTGTCAAAATGGGGTCACAGCTCGGGTTCGGGTTCAACTCAGAACTGACACCACATTATTCGACCCGACCCGAACCCGATCCATTCCAGAAAACAGGTCAATTTTTCAGACCCGAACCCGACCCGCTTCGAGTTCAGTTCAACTCGACCTGACCTGCAAGTTTGCCGCCAACCATCCGTTCGCGCGCTTATTCAGCCAATCCATTAAGGCAGTGGGCGACGCGTGACATCGATGTGGGCAGGCACGACAGCGAAGAGACACGTCACTCGATGCGGTGCAAGCATACACATTTTTGCTGGGTCATTCTAGGTCATTCCCGGGTTTTCGGGTCAACCTGAACCCAACCTAATTTTTGAGACCGGTTGGTTTGTTGAATCCGAACCCGACCCGTTTCACAAACATGTTAACCCTAACTCAATATTGACACCCCTTGCTTAAACCCAATTCAAAGTAACCAAATGAAATTATAATTATGATCTAAAAAGCAATACCGTGAGAAAGCTATCCCAAACAGACCCTAAATCTAAACTAAAATAATCGAAATCATCACAATAAGACCTTACATTCATGATCAAAATCTAAATCAAAATCAAGATCAAGAAATAAAAAAACCCCAAATTTCCCAATATACAAACCTACCAAGCAAGTGTAGCAGATTAATTGGACCGCCATTGAATAGATCCACCTTTATGTTGTTAGTTCAACTAATCTGATTCCATGTCACCTTTCTCTCTCCACTATTTAGAAATATACGAACGCGACAGTAACAGTTCCACTTTTGACTATTAATATTAAATAAATCATGCGTTAATCCCCTTTTATCACATTAAAAAAACTTAATTAATTAATAATTAATCACACCCACCTAATCTCTCAAAATTTCATCAGACTATTCAACCGCAAGTCATCCATCGACGCCTATTTTTCTCTGCCAATGAACTTGTTTGGTCTTTTCCCCGTTCAGGAGTTTCTAGAGAGAGAATCAAGAGTTTCTAGAGAGAGAAGAGTGTGGAAAGTTACAGAAAACTGCCCTCAATTAAAGAAAGGTAGAGAGAGAAAGTGATCTTCAGGCCAAGACTGTTTGGGCGGCTGTTGTTAATAAAGTTAGTTAAAAAATTGATGTGAACAAAGTGTGAGTGTAGCCTATTTTAGATGCAGAGGTTGAATTTTTATTATTTGATGGAGAGTAAAATAAAAATTTAGATATTTTTAAAGAATTTTTGAATGTATTAATCCGCATTCATTTTTTATGTATTTGAAATTAATTTCTCTGATTTAGATGTATATTCAAATAAAATGCACCAAATAATCTCACCAACTATGTGACATCGCTTCATGATTTTCTAAACTCATGCTTATATTCTCGCCGTCAAACCTTCATATGACACTGCATCTCATATGACCTTGCCGCATGTTGTAAAAAATATAAGAGCTATAAGACAACTGCAATTAGAACACTTATCAAATAAATAGTCCATGACGTGTGAAGCGCTGTTCTTAAAGTTAGATTTCTGACACTCTCAGGTGCATAGGTACACAGCAGTCTAACTCCAAAAATTTAATGGAGTCTTCACAGTGATTTGCACTAATCACAACGGGAAGCAGGAACATCGATGTAGATATTTGCTCTGAACATATATATGGTGAAAAATAATAACATCAATAATAATTATTTCAGTTACAACAATAATAATTATTTATGTTACAAATTTTGTTCTGAAAAACATAAAATACAAGATCACCATCCCTGACACGCAACCTTGACACGACATTAAACATTGCACGCGACCTTTAGTACTTTTTGTGCCCTAGCTTAGTTTTGATTAAAAAAGTTTGTGACATATATACAACAACAACAACAACAACATCAAGCCTTTATCCCACTACGTGGGGTCGGCTACATGAATCCTTTTTCTCCATTGTGTCCTATTAAAAGTTAAATTCTCGTTTAAATCTTTTATGTACCCAACATCGATTATTAAAAAATAATATCAATATTGATGCTGAATTCATTTTAAATAAAAAAAAATTTGAATTGTTTTACAACCAACTAAATAACATAAGGATATTTCAAATGTATTGACTTCATTCTACAATGCATTAGAACTAACTCTGCCTAATTCTGACCGTTAGATTAATCTCAGCATGGTCAGCACTAATCTTAAGGCTTTCAGCCCAAATTCAGCAGTATAAGAAAATTCAATATCATCATCAATCTCAAAACCTTAGGCTTTATCCAACAATTTGTCCTCTCAAGGGCAAAGTTGTCCAATATGATCATTGATTGTGAAATGGATTAGCTCACTCAACTCCCACTAATTAGTAGGACCATAATGTCCTTCAATAAAGAATATTTTAATCCAATAAAACATGAATGAATTTTACTCTTTTCAAGTTCTATTAAGAGCATCTTTTAATAATATTCTGATATAATCTTTTTCAAATCTTTTATTTTTTATCTTTACTTACATCTAGAACAGGTTCAATAAATCTTTCCGTCTTTAATTTTGCTAGGAGAGTCTTTATAAGCTCAATTATTAATTTAAGCATCAAAAGCTTTTATAGCCTCTTATTTAGATATTTATGTATGGGATATTTCAAAGATGTGTCTATTTGATATCTCTATTTTTTTTTTTAATTTAGATAATATATGTTAGTTTTGCATTGTTTTAGTTTTTTAAGAATAAATTCTTTTATTTTAAAAAATATGCATAGTAATTTTTAAAAATATTTATTGTCCTTATATGAGAAAGCATTAATTGGATGTTTTAAATAGAATTTGACTCTTAATAAAACACAACGGAAAATAATGATTCATATAATCGACCCCACGTAATGGGATAAAAACTTGATGTTGTTGTTTTTATAGAGGTCAGACATTGTTGATAATGTAATATAGTAATTGCCTTAGTCATTTTTTTAATAAACATAATCATGATTTTGTCTTTGAATAGAAATTTCATTATGATATTAATAAGATTTTCATTTGGGATACTTTACCCTGATTGCTTATCATTTTCCTCATACCATGCACTTTTTATTTACAATTTTCTCCTTTGAGCCTAATGATAATCATTTCAAGATTTCTTAATACTTTAATGATGTTGTTTTACTATAATAATTATTTTTTGATTTAGTAATGCTACATTTAATTAATCTTTTAAGGTATTTTAAGATATATGATAGAAATAAAATGTAATTAACATATGATAGAATGAAATAGGGTTCATATTGTCATTTTTTGGTTCATAATTTTGAATTCAATCATCAAAGAATGTCATGCTAAACACTATGTAAGAATGGAGTTTCAAATTATTAAGTTTATTTTGAGATTAATGATTTATATAAAAAAGTTTGTACTATAGTAATCTCAAAGTATATCCAATGATTTTCAAACTCATCCTCATATAATATATGTTAAAATATATTGACACAATTTTTTATGAAATGTCTTTAAAGCATATGGTGCTAGTTATAATTTAGTTGACAAAAATTTTAAAATTAGTCATCAAAATCTTAAATTTAAAGTATTATTACATAAAAATTATGCTTTAAGAACTTAAATTTTGCTTCTTCCTCTTGCTTTTTGAATTTAAATAACTTGTTCTTGGGGCTATAAGATGATATGTAAGTTATCATTAGTTACAAGTGAGTGAGAGAGAGAGAGAGAGAGAGGACACAAATAGAAAGAGAACATTACAAACATTGCTTTGTCTTTTGTGAGGGGAACATATAGCTAGTGTTCATTTTTTTAATTAATTAATCTTTTTTTAATACTCTATAATATTTTCATTGTTTTTCCCAACTTATATTTGTTGAATTTCTTTCAATCCTATAATTCTAATGTCTACAAACTATTCATTAAACTTATTTCTTTAATTCTAATATATTCCAACCTTAATAATTTTCACTTTAATTTGTGCCCCAAGGAAAAATAATGCCAATCTTATATATGTATATATTTTTAGGATGTAATTAAAAATCACTGAGCATGTTTTGAAATTAGCATAATACTATTTTTTATAGAAAACATCAATTTCAATGCAAATCCAATAATTTTTAAGCCTATTTTGATATAAACTATAAGAGAATTTCTATATATAAATTATATTAAAATATCATGATAATTTTTTTTTCTTGTGCCTCACAATCAATGGATGCCTCTAAAACCCTATCATAACATAAGTTTACTTTATATATAAAAAAAAGAGTAAAGATTTTCTTGGTTCATTAGCATGAGCAATTATTAGGTTCTTTCACTGGATGTAGAGGAAGATTCGGTTAGTAAAGATTTCTTGGTTCATTAGCATAGTAGCAATTATAATTTCTCTATAAATTAGTCAATTGAACTATGCTAAAATAGAAACATTTTTTTCTTCGAAAAAAAATAAACAAAAAAAAAATTATATATTCATAGTTTTATTTCATGTAATTCAAAGTTAATAGTGATTTTTAATCCTAGAATTAAAACTCTCCCAAATATGATGAATTATTTTGACAAAATAATGAAAATAAAGTTTCAATTTACAATCCAATGTGCCCAGCATATTAAAATAAACTTAGGCTTCCTTTTGAAAAATTATTTTTTATACAAAATTTATAGTTAAAAAAAAATTATATTAAAAAACTATTTTAAAAAATAATCACAAAAGAAACCTTTGAAAATGTGCTATTTTAAAAGAAGAAACTTCAGAAAAATAGTGAGCCTGTGAGTGTAAAAAAACTAGTTAACTCTTTAAAAAAATAGCATAATTTTGACCAAGAACAGCTTTGCCAAATAAAAACAGCATCATGATAATCAGACCATTCCAATGTTAATGAGAAAAACAAAAAGAAAAAAAGTCATACGCAAAAAATTTAGTGTTTCATTTAGAACAATTTTCTTAATGCTTTCTAAAATGATTTTTTTAGTAGTGCAAAAACTGATAAAAAGCTGTCCCAAACGCTGTCTCAAACGCTGTCTAAGATGAGATCTGTAGAGATATTTGACAATTTGAACGCAGATATTTCTGCAGGAAACTGGGAAGATTAAAATTGAAGAAATATTTATTCAGCTACAGGTTGAATAACTGTCAATGGTTTCATTCACACCAATTAGGTGCACTGAGAGATTCAAGGCCTTTCTGCTTATCGTTTCTTATTTTATTAGTACAATATGAAACATTTTAGAAGCCAAAAAGTATGTACAAGTGAGCAAAATAGTATCACAGCCTATATTACATTCTAAGCTTATTTGTACAGAATTAAAATTACCACAAAAAA